AGAGTTTCAGTGGTCCAGCACAGAAATCATAGAATCATAGAATATCAGGGTTGGAAGGGACCTCAGGAGGTCATCTAGTCCAACCCCCTGCTCAAAAGCAGGACCCATCCCCAATTAAATCATCCCAGCCAGGGCTTTTTCAAGCCTGTCCTTAAAAACTTCTAAGGAAGGAGATTCCACCACCTCCCTAGGCAACGCATTCCAGTGTTTCACCACCCTCCTAGTGAAAAAGTTTTTCCTAATATCCAACCTAAACCTCCCCCACTGCAACTTGAGACCATTACTCCTTGTCCTGTCCTCTTCCACCACTGAGAATAGTCTAGAACCATCCTCTCTGGAACTACCTCTCAGGTAGTTGAAAGCAGCTATCAAATCCCCCCTCATTCTTCTCTTTCGCAGACTAAACAATCCCAGTTCCCTCAGCCTCTCCTCATAACTCATGTGTTCCAGACCCCTAATCATTTTTGTTGCCCTTCGCTGGACTGTCTCCAATTTATCCACATCCTTCTTGTAGTGTAGAAATGACTAATGCCTCAACCTTTGATGTAAGTTATTGTCAGAGAGGAATAAACAAAATTATCTTGCTAGCCAGAGGTGGAAGAAGGACTGTCGCTATCTAAGTGTTCAGGATCAGTAATCAGAGTAACAGCCGTATTAGGAGCTGTAGCTCACGAAAGCTTATGCTCAAATAAATTGGTTAGTCTCTAAGGTGCCACAAGTACTCCTTTTCTTTTTTCAGGATCAGTAATGACTACAGTAGGACCTATGGCTGATCCACTCTCTTGACTATGAGTGGACAAATGCCTTCAGCTGAGAGAAAGCTGGTGATGATAAGCTGCCCGTAGAACTGTTTTCCTCTTCTGGTTCTCATCACTTTGGTCTTTCTTATATTCAGCTTGAGACAGCTCTTCTTTATCCATGTATCAGAGTCAGCAAGTCTCTAACATATGGGCATTATCAGAACTCTGATTGTCCACATCTCTATGTGCTGGTAGAGGAAAAATAAACCGCATAGAATCATAGAATATCAGGATTGGAAGGGACCTCAGGAGGTCATCTAGTCCAACCCCCTGCTCAAAGCAGGACCAATCCCCAATTAAATCATCCCAGCCAGGGCTTTGTCAAGCCTGAACTTAAAAACTTCTAAGGAAGGAGATTCTACCACCTCCCTAGGTAACGCATTCCAGTGTTTCACCACCCTCCTAGTGAAAAAGTTTTTCCTAATATCCAACCTAAACCTCCCCCACTGCAACTTGAGACCATTACTCCTTGTCCTGTCATCTGCTGCCACTGAGAATAGTCTAGAACCATCCTCTCTGGAACCACCTCTCAGGTAGTTGAAAGCAGCTATCAAATCCCCTCTCATTCTTCTCTTCTGCAGACTAAACAATCCCAGTTCCCTCAGCCTCTCCTCATAAGTCATGTGTTCCAGACCCCTAATCGTTTTTGTTGCCCTTCGCTGGACTCTCTCCAATTTATCCACATCCTTCTTGTAGTGTGGGGCCCAAAACTGGACAGTACTCCAGATGAGGCCTCACCAATGTCGAATAGAGGGGGAGGATGACATCCCTCGATCTGCTCGCTATGCCCCTACTTATACATCCCAAAATGCCATTGGCCTTCTTGGCATCAAGAACACACTGCTGACTCATATCCAGCTTCTCGTCCACTGTCACCCCTAGGTCCTTTTCCGCAGAACTGCTGCCTAGCCATTCGGTCCCTAGTCTGTAGCTGTGCAGTCCCTAGTCTCTTGTTTGAGCTGTGATGAATAAACCATGTTCACTAGGAAAAAATAGTCTTCCATTACTACATTTGGGTAAGAATGATGTTCCTTATTTATATCTGTACAAAATAACTGACTTAGTCTAGTTGTAGAATCTTTCAGCTACAAAGGTGTAACCTTAAAATGGAAGCCTTTCACCCATGCCCTTTTCAAACTGCTTGCATAGTCACCATTTTTCATCCGGGCCACCTACACACTACATTATTATGCTAAATTTTATGAGCATTTATATATGTACCAAACTGGTTTTGATACTCCCCAAATAGCTATTAGCACAACTGTCGTGATTGCTATTAAATAATCAACATGAACCATGAATTGGTATCTGTTAGTAAATGTCACCTTGTAATAGTGACCACTTTACACTTGCACATTTTAAAAAAAACTTTAATTATATCTGGGTATTAGTTTGTGCAATTAACATATCAACACATACGGTCTTCCTTCGTACCATAATTTATTTGACTTCATTAGCAGGAGTTAAAAAATATTTTAATTACAAAGCCATGCCATAGAACAATCAGCTTAGTAAATGCAAAGGTTTTAAATCTCCTAGTTGCTTTGTAATCACAATTACCTGAAGATGTGGGTTAGTCCTACTAAGCTAGTCTTCTGTGTCAGGCAAATCTTGCTTCTCAAGGGCAAACTGGCTTTGAGTTGCTCTCAGTTATCTCTTTCTGCTACTTCTGCTCAACTTGTGATTGTGTGCACAGGGTCAACATTGTGGTAGAACAGAATGGGTTTCTCTTTTGGCTCTTTTGTTTCCAGTAAATCTGCATCTCATTGTTTGACTTGGTCACAGTTTGTCTGTATGCAATGTTGTAGCTGTGTTGGTCCCAGGATATGATAGAAACAAGGTGGGTGAAATAGTATCTTTTATTGGACCAACTTCTGTAGGTGAGGGAGGCAAGCTTTTGAGCTTACACAGAACTCTTCTTCAGGTCAGCTCTTTTTCAGTAGACTTCTGTGTAAGCTCAATAACTTGCCTCTCTCACACACAGAAGTTGGTACAATAAAGTATATTACCTCATCCATCTTGTCTCTACAATTTGTCTGGTCCAGCTAAATTTTTTCACACCCAAGGTCAGTTCCCCCTCAAACTTTGGCTTTGGTTCTCTGCTCCAGAATATCGCCTCTTGCAAATCCTTGTCTCTGGTTCTTCCATACTTATGGCTTAGTGCTTGCTTTACCAGGCATACTTCATTCTCACTATCTGTTAGATACTAATGTAAGGTTATGCAAAATATATGTCCATATTTATGTATTTATAGATAGGTATTAACTCTGGGTTTAAGTTGGACATGAGGATTCTGAGTTTTCCTATTAATACACTGCTGTGAATTTTCAGATTACCCCTGTAAAGAATCCTACAGAGTATGATCAAATCTGTGTTCACAAAACAGCACCTCTCCCAATGGAGCTGGAAGCAGCTGCTTAATTAAACTGATGAGACTCACTCAGCTCCTAGTTAGTTTCACTCTTCTACTTCTGATGTAGCTGGGATGTATGTAGGTGTGATTCCCCACTGTCCTGGAGGTGCTCTGGGTGAAAAAAAAGATTAACATGGAAGGAGAGAGATGAGACAAAAACAGGAGGGTCAAAGAAGGGGAAGAGATATGGGGGAAAGAATTGACAGAGCAGCTAAAAGAAAGCAAGATTTTGAAGAGCAAAATATAGTGCATGCGTGGTCACGCTGTACAGAGCAAAGTGGCGTCCTCCATACAGTAGGGATTGCCACAACATCAGCAAGCCACAGTTTGAGGACCACTGAACTAGAGGGAGGGTTGCTGTGGTACGGGGCTTTGATGTGTGTGTGTGCAGTGGTGCAGGGAGAATGGGATGAGTGCTGAAAAATAGTGATAAGTGAGTGAGTAGATTCAAGAATGGGGCATGGACCAAAACAAAGCATGGAAAAGCAAATAGATGCACAGAAAACAAAAGGAAAGGAAGAGCATGGAAGAAATTGTGGGGTATGGCAATAATGACAATCATTTGCTCTTTATAGCACTTGTCATTGGTTGATCTCAAAGTGCTTAACAAAGGAGTTCAGTGTCATTATCCCATTTTACAGATATGGAAACTGAGAGAGGTAAAGTGATTGTCCCAAGGTCACCCAATTGGCCAGTTGCAGAGGTGGGAATAGAACCCAGGTCTCCTGAGTCCCAATTTGGTAGGCTATTCCGCAGGTCATAAATGTGTGACATGCAATGAAAGGAGAAAAAGACACAGATTCCTGGGTATGATTGGGAGCAAAGGAAGGTCAATAACTAAATTTTAGGGGTGACATTTTATTTCTTCCTATATTTTGGTGATTCAACAGAAACTCAGAAAAAACACCTCCCACTGAAATTCTGAAATTGCCCCCTCTGCCATTAAACCCCTGAAAAATGGCTGAATCATAGCTTTGTGTGTGCATTGTTGTAATGGTTAGTGAAAAGGCAGCTGTCCATCCCAGCACTGTAGGGGGTCTCTTGTAAACTTTTCTGCCTAACCAAGTCTGTAATACAGTTGAGTACTTTAATTAGAGTTATTAACTGAACCCAAAGGTTATTTATAGATATGAGAAACCTTCATGCCTTTTCCAGGCACAGAGCAAAACCATATGAAATACTCATATAAGATCTGCAACAGTTAAAAGAGTACATTTTGAAGCAGGAGGCTATGAGATAATTTGCTCTCATGGCCTGGAACACTAATGCAAGTATAAAATTATCCATTTTAATTTACACTTCCATGTTTTTGCCATTTTGTTTATGTTGCATGTAACTACTAGCCTTCATAACCTAGCTTTCACTGTATATTCTCTTTTCCTTGTCTCAAAATACAAAACACTATTGTCTGTTTCCATGGAGTTTCAGTAACTGGTGTTTTGAATAACAACTCAATCCTCTAAGAAAAACTGTTTTGTCTATTTTTGCTGAACCAAAAGGTTTTATCTCTGTTTTTGCATACATATTAGATAGCACTCCCTCAATCTAGTGTGTGTGGGGGGGGGAACGGCAGACATCTGAATTATTTTAAAATACAGATTTATTTAATTAAAAGTACAACTGTTTAGGGTCCTGAAGAGGAAAGGCTAGACCTAAAAAGGAATATGTTCTTGTTTCTAAAAATACTGTTTAATATAAAAAAGTAATGTTTTTTTTAAATAATACACAATAGACTTTTTGCTTCAATTTAGATTCTTAATCTCCAAAATTCATTTTTAAAATTTCAGAGCTGGTGGTCCAAGTCTTTTACTGAGAATGACATTAGGAACAGAAATTACTACCCATCTCCAGGCCTCTTCATATGCAGCATCAGACCGAAACTTTTTGAAATGGGACCTGTCACCAGAGCAAATCAGAACAAGGACAGATGATCTGATCATGAAAACAAAGCAAGTGTATGATAATGTTGGAATGCTTAATTTTGAAAAAGTAACATATGAGAACACTATGCAGGCTCTGGCCGACATAGAAGTGGAGTATACAAGTGAGTATGTGGAATCTAATACCTTCCTTTTCTGAATTCGTCCTATCCACACAGCAGAGTTCGGGAAGCAATGCAGCAAAAGCAGTTACCACCTGTGAGTCTGATCTGTGCCCTTCATGGCTAGAGAAATTAGAAATCTCAAAAGTGATATCCATTCATATTCATTTTTGACCTGGCCATTAAAGACATGGCAAGGGTTAGCAAGACTATGCTGGTATTACTTCACTCATTTCTCTCAGACTATATTGAGAGAGTCACAATGGGCATATACTCCTCCACTTTCAAAGTCCTCACCTGTGAAATCTGAGTGACCCATCCTATTCTTGTCAGTGACTGCATGGAGCCACTTGGTGGCACTGTGCAACAGCATGGACTAAAATGTCTGCAGTATACATATGAAATCCAGCTTTACAATTACTTTCACATCTTATATAAAAAGCACTTTCCTTCAGCCATTTGGGGGCCTGTTTGAGACCAGTATCTGAAGTCAAATCACGTGACTAATGTGATGCTAGTCGGGGGAGGGAAGCATTTCAGAGAACTCATGTCCTAACATCTTCCTCCAGTGAGGGCATCTGCTCTGTGTTAAGTCTGCAATCTTACCCTTCTCTTGACACTTCACAGATTCTGTGCACCAAATAATCATGACTATGGTTATTATATCCTTTTCCTATTATAGCTGGCAAGGAGACTGTCTTGAACAATCTTAATCCAAACAGCCTCCTGTCAGGTTCAGATTTAGCCACAGTGATGATCAGTGATCCATGCATTCATGACCTCCAGCCTGAATTATTGTGGCTCTCTGTGTGTAGGAATAAAACTACCAGGCTTAAGTTAAAAATAAAAGTAAATAAATAAATAAAATAAAAAGCTACTGTTTGGTTCAGAACACAGCAGCAATCTGCCCAGCTGCAGAGGCTGTGAAGAGTACATATCACTCCAGTGCTCTTCTCTCTTCCCTGGGTCCTATCAGAATACTAGTTCAGATTTAAGCTTTGGTTACCAATCTTCAAAGCTCTACATGGAACTAGTCTCACTTTCCTGAGGGATCACTCATGGTATGTGATTATGACCTCTCTCAACAGCAGCAATCCATTAGAACCTTAAGAACATAAGAACGGCCATAGTGGGTCCTACCGAAGGTCCGTCTAGCCCAGTATCCTGTCTTCCAAAAGTAGCTAATGCCAGGTGCCCCAGAGGGAATGAACAGAACAGGTAATCATCAAGTGATCCATCTCCCATCGCCCATTCCCAGCTTCTGGCAAACAGAGGCTAGGGATACTATGCCTGTCCATACTGGATAATAGCCATTGGTGGACCTATCCTTCATGAACTTATCTAGTTCTTTTTTGAACCCTGTTATAGTCTTGACCTTCACAACATCCTCTGGTAAGGAGTTCCACAGTTGACTGTGCGTTGTGTGGAAAAAATACTTCCTTTTGTTTGTTTTAATTCTGCTGCCTATTAACCTTGGAACCGTCAGTCTTGAACATTATACTCACATGAGCAGGGGAGAGAGCTTTCCCAGTAACTGGCCCATGTACCTGGAACTCATTCTCAGAAAAGACCCAGATGACCACAAACCTCAGGAGCTTCAGAGCAAAATGTAAAACTCACTACTTCATTTGAACCATCTTAACATAACAGCAGCAAAACAAATAAAGGTCAGGCCCTACAGACTGGAGGAGAGGGCAAACCACATGTGTATGTGCATCCCATAATTTTGAGAGACAGACAAGATACCACAGTCTTTGGTTGTGTATTGTGTCTTAGTTTTTCACAAAGCTTTTTAGGTGCATCTTAAAATCTGTAACCAACTAATCTTTAGAACCTTCATCTGCTAGTAATATGAACTGAACGGTCTCTCAGGACAAAAAGCATTTGTTACACTTTTGTGTAAAATGTTTGAACAAAGTGTAACATGCAGGACATTAGCACTTTTTTAAAAGGGAAAACTATAACTAGGTTTAATCAAGTCCAAGTTAATTAATCCAGCTAGTCATTTCAACTACTTTTTTAATTATAGGACCTATGTTCATGTTTGTTATTAATACAGGGGCACGACAGCATTGCTGAGAATTTAGTTTATTTTCATTTCCATTCAAAATTGTTACTCAGCCTGTGATCTCTGATAGTCCAAAATAATCACACATCATCTCCCTCAGTTTTCTTATTGCTTGCTTTTATTAGTAATAAACAGACTTGGTCATATCTGTATTTTCTCCTGCCAATTTTTGAATAATTTGAGGGAGAATTGTAAAGATTCAAAACTTGCTATTTCCAAGATTCTAGAGAGAGAATCTGTGACAACCATTAAAAATAATTTATTTAAAAATACCTACTTTCTGTACTTTTAAAAGATTCATCTCATTTCAAAGCATACAATTACTCCAGTGCTTTAAATATATCTGTATTAAACTTTTACTAACTCAAAATTGACCTTGTGGAACGATTAAAGTGGGGACATTTGCAAGGGCAGTTGGGCTTTTATAATATACACCATCAGTGAAATATGCATTTGTTCTAATGCATCTGTTGCTGCTGTGTATATAATTGTATTGGTTCATTTTTTACATAATCCGTGATCCATTCATTATCTGTAAATCCTAATCAGTGGTTGCTTCAGGTATCTGTTTATATAAGTTTATTTCTGAAAGGTTGTGTAAAAACTAAAAACAACGAATTATTAAATAACTTGTCTATTCCTAGGAAGTTCCTCATCTTGAAAAAAATTAACATGGACTGACTGCATTGTAAGTGTTTTAAAATGTATTTTTATTTTAACAGTGGAAAGAAGCATGCTGGATTTCCCGCAGCATGTCTCATCCAACAAAGATGTACGCTCAGCAAGCACAGAAGCTGACAAAAGACTTTCTTATTTTGATGTGGAGATGAGCATGAGAGAAGATGTGTTTCAGAGGATTGTTTATTTGCAGGTAAATGACAATGAAGATAACTAAAAATAACCGGTAGAGGAATATGTAAGGTGCCACCAGTGAAATTTTTTTCCCAATAAATAGTACATGCTGTGTTTTTCAGTATCCCTATCACTTAATTAATCTCAATCACTGTTAAATCCACTATCCACTGAATAGACCTGTAGTGTATGTGTTACATGAGGGGCCTCATTTAAATTCTCTTGCTTCAAAAACCTAAGGATTTTACTTAAAGAAAACCTTTACCAGGTAGAAACCTTGGGGAAAAGGTGCACTCTCTCACGTCTATATTTGGCTGCCAGATAAGCTTGTGCACACACTCGTTCACTGTTTCTTACTTCATTGGAATTAGGAATGACTACATTTTTTTGTTGTTTAAATTATTCTAGAAGTCAATAATGCTGATGCAAACAAAATACTTGGTTTACTACTGTCTACTAGCCCCTTTTAAAGTGTTTTCATAGACTGCCTCATCCTCCAAGTAAGCACCATCATAAGTGTTACGCTTTAATTAAGTATATATTATTAACTGTGTAATTCAAACTAAACCAAGAATAATTAAAATTTACTGTGATGGCCTCACTTTTCTTACTCCCCCAAATGTATGAAGTAGTATTTGTTTATCATTCTTCAGATGGGTAATTTTAAAATATTTAAGCAAATAATTTAGTATGAATAATTGTGACATTTTCATCTGTCCCTCCTCCAAATGTGAAATTTGTGTCTATTAAACAATTGTGCTTACTGTTGTTCCACATAGCTGATAAAACACTGGAAGCACTGGCTACTGGAGTCGTTTCTGTGCTGTATTGTGCTGCATTGTAAAAACCTTGCTTTTTGTAATACAAACTGGAAATCTTGATATTTGCAGTGAGATCTGAACAGAGCATTTTATAATTTCCCCCATTATCTTTTATTGCCATGCTTTCCAAGAATGTTTTCCACCATTTGCTTTCCCTTATTTGGCTATTTCCACATTGTTTATGTGAGAAGCTCCTGATATTTTACAGCCCCACTATAGACTATTTTGTTCATTTTTGTGTGTGTTGGCAGCTAGTGTTTCTTATTATCTTTCACTTTTTTACATATCTCATACGCTGAATTAAAGAAGTTTGATATGTGTTTACTGTTTTATGTGATTTTATGTTATGTACGTTATGTGTATGTGCACCTTGTGGGCTCTGCTGTAATACAAATAATATTTTTTCATATTTATAGGCATTTCTAGCAGTCACTTGTGAAAACCAAATATAAATATCTACAATAATTACTGTTGGTCAACAGAATTCTTTCATATTCACCTTGGTATTCTTTCTATTTAATTTCCCCTTGTGACGATATTCGGCATTTACATCTATTTCAGAATACTATAGTGTTTCTAATTTCTTTTTGTTAATCCTTTAAATTAGTTTGAGGGTTTCCCCCCTTCATTTAAACAGTACAACAATATGCAGATATTTCTTAATCATCTATTTAACACTGATATGTGACCTGGGCTAAGATCTCAGATCTGAATACTAAAATTCACAGTGCCTGGGAGAAGATCATTTTTGGTGGAGGACATTAGGCTGTGTAATTTGCTTCCACCAAGGCCAGGCTGAATCTTGCCACTTCTAGATTATGATGCATGACTTCTCTGCTCTTGTAAGTTGTTGCCTCAGCTGCACCTGGAGAATGACTTTTCCAAGTAGAGTTTCTAACAGAAGAGGAGAGACTGAATTAAAACCATTGAAAACATAGTAGCCATTTTAATAAGCCAGCCTCGTTAATTTCAGTGTAGTATTTCTGTCAAGTTAGGGTTTCCATGGAATTTTCAGGGCTAAAGCATGGTTTCTTAATTTAAACATCATGAACCTGTTTAGGGCCAGGTTAACAGTACAGTGGAAACAGGGCCCCTCAGACTCGTACATTATTTATTATGGTAGTATCCCATGAAAAGTTGGATGTTCAAACATAACATCTAGGATCTCCTAGATCTCTCTGACCCCAGGCCCATTTTTACCCCTTAAAATGCAGGCCTGAGTCTGCTAAAGTTATTTACCATGCTTATGTTACTTCCTAAATCATTCTTATACATCCTCCTCCACCAATGGTTTTTGAAAATGAGGGGGGTTTTTTATGTCTAATCAAATAAAAAAGCTTTTTCCAAATATTAAGGAAAAAATTCCATCCTAGGCTTATGTGGTAGATGTATACTGCAGCTCTCCTTCTACAGGAAATTTTTACTCCAGTGATTTAAACCCTTGAATATAGGTGTTTATAATAGATTTTTAATATTAATGTGTCTGATGAAGCGATAACATTAAGCCTAGTCATTCCTAACAACTGCACACGGGCATGCTGAAGAATGTTATCAAACTTCCCCACCCACACATCCTTAGAAAACTCAGCATGGTTTAAACAGTTGCTATATTCCACATAGTCTCCTTTTTTTAGTTCTCCTTAAAGACTTGTTCACATAATGCATGGACTATTATGGTGGTTCAAAAATGAAATTAAAAATTATATTATGTAAATATCAGCAAAGGGACATTTAAAAAGCAATTATCCTTAATTCTGAAAAACTCAGAATAATCATGTACGGTAAAGTACTCAAACTTAGAACCTCTGTCACAAAACTTGTACATCAGAGAAACATTGGGTGAGGTGCAGTATCATTAATAATGAGAAGTTTAAAATTCACACCATAACACATTAAGTCCATGATTGCTGTAAAGTCTTACACCATTGCTTATCTTTAAACACATGACTAGACTACTTAAATTGAAAGGGATTATTCATGTCCATGAAATTAGGCATGTGCACAAGTGTTTGCAGGATGGGGCATTAGACATCTTCAAGGCAGCCATAGTGATATTTCAGTTTAAAAGTGTGTTTTAAGAGGTGGTTGATAGAGTGAAAGTGAGTTAAGAAAAAAATCCCACATGGGGCCTAACAAATTCAATATGGAATTCTGTAACTTTTGTTCATTTTAATTGTAGTAAGAGAACTGTATCCCTTTACACATTGGAATACTCCTGTTTTTTCTTCTCATCATCTTCCATTTAATATAATTGCAGCAAACATGTGATCTTGGACATCTGAAGCCTGAAGCTAAGCGATACTTAGAGAAGTCAGTTAAAATGGGGAAAAGGAATGGACTCCATCTTCCCAAAGAAGTACAGAATGTGAGTATGGATTTCCTATATTTATAATATGAAGAAAGTATGGTTTCACTGCTATGAAGAATTTCCTAAGTGTATATTTTTGCTTATATACTCAGGTCTCAGTTAAGTGCTGCTTTGAGGCCATCCTTACTCTTACAGACTGTAATGATGATAATTTGTACAAGACAAAGAAATACAAAATAAAAGATTTTAAAATAAGCCCAAGATTTTTGAAAGTGGGTAATGATTTTGAATTCCTGAATTTTTGAGTAACTAACTTGAGACAACTTAAAAGGAGCCTGATTATCAGAAAGTGGAAGGCAGCACTCCCTAAAAATGCGGCATCTGTAGGACATCCAAAATTGAGCACCCAAAAATTGAAGAGCTCTCTGGAAGCTTGAAAGCTTGTCTCTTTCACCAACAGAAGTAGTCCAATAAAAGATATTACTTCACCCACCTTGTCTCACTATTTAACAGCACAGGCTTGTGAACCTAAAGTGGCCCTCTGCCTTTCCCCGATAATTGCTCCCAATGCAAATCCTTCAATCGACAGGAGCTTAAATCTTGGTTATGCATATTTATATTATGTTAAGGTTCCTGATGCCTCTAGAAGATCATTAGAAACTATATGTAAGGAGACTGTTGGTGGCTCAGAGTGAAGTAAAATCTTGACTATTGTTAAAATCTAACCAGCAGCAGAAACAAATGAATCACAATGTATACAAACTATATGTGTGTAAATTTGGCAGTAAGGAGCCAGAACACCCCAGAAGTCAGCCTGATATGTCAAAAATATTTTGCTCATCCAATTTCTTGTGTTTAAGAAAAGATTTTGGAATGCTGTTATCTTTCATAGATGTTCTTTTCTTTCTGCCATATATTTAAAGGTCCCAAACTAATCTAGGAGCTCTTTAACTTTTCAGCAGCTTGTTGACACACCTTTGTTGTGTCTGCTCCTTTTAGAGCCATCTACCAGTTATCTTTAGGACAGCAATTCCCACTGAAATACAACAGAAAATTTTATTTAAAATTAAATTTAGACTTTTATTTTGAGAGAGAGGGAGAGAGAGGAACTAAGTGTTAATACATAAAACTATGTTAGCGCATTATTGACATCAATGGTTCTCAACCTATGATCCTTGAATCCCTGGGGGTCCCGTGGACTGTGTCTAAGGGATCCACAAAAGACGTAGACTGAAAACTGACTGAACAGAATTCAGCTATATATACAGACAATATATTTCCAAAGGGGTCCACACCTCCATTAGAAATTTCCAAAGGGGGTCACACCTCCATTCAAAACTTTTTAGGGGTCTGCAAATGAAAAAAGGTTGAGAACCACTGATTTCTATGATAAATCCCTTGTGAGTTAAGAAAATATACTTCTCACGTGTTTGGGGTAAAAGAAAATCTTAGAGAAAGTTAAATTATTTTTACATGTAGGGCAGCAATGGGTAGTTACAATTTTGGTTTTTGATGGTCAGTTTAATTTATATTCAATTAGGAAATAAAGACCATGAAGAAAAAATCGAGTGAGCTGTGTATAGACTTCAACAAAAACCTCAATGAGGAAAACACATTTCTCATGTTTTCTAAGGATGAACTTCGTGAGTACTGTATTTCTCTTTCTTTAGAACTGCAGTTAAATTTCAGGAATCTTTTTTGTGCAGCCCTTAGATAGGGTTCAATTGTCATACAGTATCTAGGAAATGAAATTGTAACACTGTTACAGCTTGTACTCGTTTCCTATCCTTCTCCAAATCCAACTCAGGATTGCCTTTGTGTAATTAAAAATTCTTCATGGACTTGTGCCACCTAATCTCTCAGGACTCTTCCCATCTTTGCCTTTCCCCTCACATCTCCACCATTGGGCATCACACTCCATTTGTAGTGTTCCATCTATCTAAAACACTTTTCTGCTGTTCAGGAAGTTAAGCTACTTCCCTGATTTAAATATTCCTTTAAAGCCTTCATTTTCAGTTTACCATATGATTCTCTGTAAAGGATTTGGTGATCACTCTGTCAAATGTATTTTATGAGTTTAATAAAATTAGAGATTTTTAAAACTATCATCTGTTTTTAAATGGGATTATCTTGTTGAACATATTTCTGCTTCTCATAAGTGAGGTGTTCATAATTTTAATATTATTTGATTTGATTAAAAAAAGTAAATTAACAATTAACCGTAACATTTAGGGCTGTATTTCGTAGAGGAGTTTTTAAATTAAGATCTGGAGGAAAGCCGAGAGGTACATAAAGTAAAAATCATAAATGAATCAAATACCATAAAATCTCTATGATAAAATTCCATGCTTGAATAACAAGAGGATAGCAGTAGGAATATACTACCAACCACCTGACCAGGATGGTGAAGGTGATTGTGAAATGGTCTAGGAGATTAGAGGGGCTACAAAAATGAATAATGAAGGGGGATTTCAAGCATCACCATATTGACTGAATACATGTAACCTCAGGATGGGATGCAGAGATAAAATTTCTAGGCACCATTAATGACCTGGAACCCATAAAGTCCTGGAACCCATAAGGGGAGAGGCAATTTTTGATATAGTCCAAAGTGGGGCACAGAATCTGGTCCAAGATGTGGATGCTGCTGAACCACTCAATAATAGCGACCCAACTATAATTAAATTTATGTGGGGGAAAAAATACCAAAGAAGCCCCCCACAGTAGCATTTCCCTTCAAAAAGGTGAACTTCACAAAAATGAGGAAGCTACTTACATGGAAATTGAAAGGAACACAAATAAGAGTGGAATACTGACAAGCTGCATGGAAACTAGTTAAAACCAGCATAATGGGGGTCAAACGAAAGGTATATCCCAAATAAAAACAAAACAAAACAGTAGGAGGAGCAGAAAAATGCCAGTGTTTCTAAACAACACAATGTAAGTGTATGTTAAAGGCATCCTTTAAAAATTGAAAGTCAAACTGTACTAAGGAAAATAGAAAGGAGCATAAACTCTTGCAAGTGAAGTGTAAAAGTATAATTAGGCAGGCTGTCAAGGTTCCTTCCCCACTCTGAACTCTAGGGTACAGATGTGGGGACCTGCATGAAAGACCCCCTAAGCTTATTCTTAACAGCTTAGGTTAAAAACTTCCCCAAGGTACAAACTTTGCCTTGTCCTTGAACCCTATGTTGCCACCACCAAGCTTGTTAAATAAAGAACAGGGAAAGAGCTCACTTGGAGACCTCTTCCCCCAAAATATCCCCCCAAGCCGTACACCCCCTTTCCTGGGGAAGGCTTGATAAAAATCCTCACCAATTTGCATAGGTGAACACAGACCCAAACCCTTGGATCTTAAGAACAATGAAAAAGCAATCAGGTTCTTAAAAGAAGAATTTTAATGAAAGAAAAGGTAAAAGAATCACCTCTGTAAAATCAGGATGGTAAATACCTTACAGGGTAATCAGATTCAAAACATAGAGAATCCCTCTAGGCAAAACCTTAAATTACAAAAAGACAAAAAAACAGGAATATACATTCCACCCAGCGCAGCTTATTTTACCAGCCATTAAACAAAAGGAAATCTAACGCATTTCTAGCTAGATTACTTACTAACTAACAGAAGTTCTGAGCCTGCATTTCTGATCTGTCCCCGGCAAAAGCATTACGCAGCAGACAGATCCTTTGTCTCCTCCCCTCCCCCCCCGCCCTCCAGATTTGAAAGTATCTTGTCTCCTCATTGGTCATTTTGGTCAGGTGCCAGCGAGGTTATTTTAGATTCTTAACCATTTACAGGTGAAAAGGTTTGAAAAGGTTTTGCCTCTGGCCAGGAGGGATTTTATAGCACTGTATACAGACAGGTGGTTACCCGTCCCTTTATTTTTATGACACGCCCCCCAAATCACAAATAGGGTGAAAACACTGGCTGTGATTTCTTCCTGGAGCTCTAGGAGAAAACAGAGTTAATAAGACACATGCACCTCTAAATATACTACCAGCTGTATAAAGACTAACAATATTTTCCACATCTCAAGGATGATTTTAACCAGATGATTCTGGGAAACTTTCACGGGAGAGTGCATCAGACACTTCGTTAGAAGCTCCTGAGATGTGTTGTATGTTGAAATCGAAATCTTGGAGAGCTAAACTCCACCGAATAAGTTTTTTGTTTTTTCCCTTGGCGGTATGAAGCCACTGTAGCGCAGCATGGTTGGTTTGCAGGTGGAAGCGCCGTCCCCAAACATATGGGCATAGCTTTTCCAGAGTGTAGACAATGATGTAACATTCCTTTTCACTGATTGACCAGTGGCTTTCCCTCTCAGACAGCTTCTTGCTGAAAAACACGACAGGATGGAACTCCTGATTCGGTCCTTCCTGCATTAAGACTGCTCCCACAGCACTCTCGGATGCATCTGTGGTTACTAGGAACGGTTTGTCAAAGTCTGGGGCCTTTAGTACAGGGTCAGACATGAGTATCGCTTTAAGCTGGTTAAAGGCCTTCTGACACTTTTCAATCCACTGAACTGCATTTGGCTGTTTCTTTTTGGTTAGGTCTGTCAGTGGGGCGGCGATTTGGCTGTATTGTGGTACAAATTGCCTGTAATATCCAGCAAAGCCGAAGAAGGATTGGGCCTGTTTCTTTGACTTTGGGACAGGCCACTTTTGGATAGCATCCACTTTGGCCTGTAGGGGGTTGATAGTTCCTTGACCTTCCTGGTGTCCAAGGTAAGTCACTCTGTTGAGGCCTATTTGACACTTCTTAGCCTGAACAGTTACTCCTGCCTCCCTTATGCACTCTGTGACAAAGCTCTGTCCACGCCTCCGTGCGTCCCGCGTTTCCTGGTGGATATCGCTAACCTCAGAGGCTCACTGTGACCCTCCATGTAACCCTTCTCTCTCTAGAGACAAGGGTCACAGTCTACTGAGCCATTTTCATCATAAGCCAGCAAGGGAGGTGAGGAGAAGTTATCCTTCCTTGGACAGTCTCTGTTGTCTCCCAGTCTCAGTGATTAATCAGGGGGCAAAGGTGGGGGGAGCCCAAGCCCACCCTCTACTCTGGGCTCCAGCCCAGGGACCCCAATAATCTCAACTATGGGAGCTGACCTTTTAGAAACATGACATGTACAATTCCCTGGACTACTTCCTCCACAACAGCCCTCACTTCCTCAAGCTCCACTTCACCCTTACCTCAGGGCTTCCTTCCTTGTGCCTGATACGGTGTGTACTACTCAGTCTCTGCAACAGCGCAACTTCCTCCCACAGCTCCTGACATGCACGCCCACCTGACTAACTGGAAGACTTTTAATTAGTTTCAGCCAGCCCCTGATTGGCTTCAGGTGTCCCGATCAACCTAGCATTCTCCCTGCCTTCTGGAAAGTTCTTAATTGGCCCCAGGTGTCTTAATTGACCTGGAGCAGCTGCCATTTCACTTATCCTGGTACCAGGAATTTGTTTAGCCTGGAGCTAATATATCTATCTCTCACTGCTTTTCTATAGCCATCTGGCCTTGCCCCGTCACAGCTCGAAGACTTTTTGTATATGTTCCAGGTGTTCTGCCTAGAAATCTGAAAATATGGCCACATCATCAAGGTAGGCGACTGCATATTCTCCCAGTCCTGCTAGGAGACCATCTACAAGTCTTTGGAAGGTGGCGGGTGCATTCCGCAGCCCGAAAGGGAGTACGTTAAATTCATACAGCCCGACATGTGTGGTGAAGGCTGACCTGTCCTTGGCGGATTCATCTAGCAGTACCTGCCAGTACCCCTTAGTTAAGTCCAAGGTAGAGATGAACTGGGTCCATCCCAGTTTCTCTAATAGTTCATCTGTGCGTGGCATTGGATAGTTGCCTGGGTGAGTTACAGCGTTTAGCTTACGGTAGTCCACGCAGAAACATATCTCCCCATCTGGTTTGGGAACTAGAACCACTGGACATGCCCATGCACTGCGGGAGGGGCGGATTACACCCATTTGTAGCATATCCTGGATCTCCCGTTCTATAGCAGTTTTAGCTTGAGGAGACACCTGGTAAGGTTGGGCTCTAATTGGGTGAGCATTACCTGCTCAGTGGAGTGGTATCCCCGTTCAGTCAGTCCTGGAGTGGCTGAGAACGTCAGCACGTAGCTAGTGCATAGCTCCTTGATCTCCTGTCGCTGCATACGCCCAAGGGTCATGGAGAGGTTCACCTCTTCCGCGCCACTTTTCCCTTCATAGTAGACACCTTCAGGCCACTCAGCGTCATCTCCCTGGTCAGTAAACTGACAAAACTTTAATTCTCTGGATCGATTAGAAGAGCTGAGAGGCGGTGGGTTGCTCCGTGCTGCCGTCCAAGCTCTCTGGAGGCTTTCATCTGCTTCCTGTTCGGTCTGGAACTGTTCTCTTGATGCTGGAGACATCAGTTCCTCATTGGATTGTGGACCTAGGCTTGATCCCTCTGGAAGCGATGCAGGTGATGGGGCTGTTTCCATTGGCTGTGAACTGCTCTCCACTGGCGCACTATATTGGGATTCAGGCTCCAGCTGAGCCTCTTGTGCAGGATTATCTGCTGGTGCAGGTTCAGTGGGGCCCTCTGGTGTTGGGGTTGCAAGTACTGGATGCAGTGCTGGCAGTGGGTCTGGTGCTGGTTGTTCCGCCGGTTCCGGTTCTGAGACTGGCTCTGTCTGGGTCTCTGTGACTGGATCCACTACTGCTGTTGCAGACGTTGGCATGGGGTCCGGTTCCATCACCTCTGACCAGGTCCTGGTAGAAGTTTCTGGAACAGAGGTAGGTGTAACAGCTTGCTTAGCCTGGCTGCGGTGACCATTCCCACCCTCTTGGCTAGCTTCACATGATTGGCCAAGTCTTCCCCCAACAGCATGGGGATGGGGTAATCATTATAGACTGCAAAAGTCCGCGTTCCTGACCAGCCCTTGTACTGGACCGGCAACTTGGCTGTAGGCAAGTCAAAAGAGTTTGACTTGAAGGGTTGAATTGTCACTTGGACCTCTGGGTTGATTAAATTGGGGTCCACTAGGGAAGCAGGGATAGCCAACACTTGTGCTTCGGTGTCCCTCCACGCAGTGACCTTTTCTTCCCGCCCACACTCACAGTTTCCCTCCACTCTGAGGGTATCTGGGAGGTATCTGGGCCTGAGGACCTCTGGTGTGATTCGGGTGCAATGAACTGTAATCTGTTGGGGTTCTTGGGGCAGTTGGACTTTACATGCCCCAGCTCGTTACATTTAAAACATCGTCCAACTGACGGGTCACTGGGGCGAGGTGGGTGGCTGGGGAACGGTGAGGCGGGATGATAAGGTGTCTGGAGTGTTCCTTGGGGTGTAGCTGGGGCTTTGGGCTGCCCCCGGTAGTAGGGTGTGATCTGAGGTTGGCCCTTCTGGTATCCGCTCCAACTGCAACCAGGGTTGTTTCTCTCTCCTCCCTCCACCCGTTTTATTCCGGTTTGCCCCAACTCTCTGGCGGTCTGGGACTGCTCATATTGATCAGCATAAGAAGCAAGACTTTCTGCTGAGTCCATTTTCTTATCCCATAAACACTGTTTTATATCCTCCTTGGACATATTCAGGAATTGCTCCTGAGTCATCAAATCACACATTCCTTCAAAGCTAGTTACACCCCTTCCTTTGACCCATCTGGTTTATATAAGCCACATTACTTAGTCCAGGCCCTCTCTTAAAGGCTCTAAATTTTAAACTTTAAGTTTCAGGTGTAACTTGAAATTGCTTTAAAACCAAATCCTTGAATATATTATAGTTAGAAGCCTCATCAATAGGCATCTTATTGAATATGTCCAGAGCCCTTCCAGTCAATTTTGCGACCAATGTGGTCATCTTGTGAGCTTCAGGAATTTTATGGAGTGTGCACAGTCTCTCAAAGGTGAGAAAATACTCAGCAGTATCACTGGATTCATCATACTGTGGACGTAGTTGCTCCCATTTGTGCATTGTTGGGTAAGGATTGTTAGGGTTATCTGGTATATTCTGCTGAGCCTTTGCCTTCTCGATCGCCAGTGCATGCTTCCTCTCTTTTTCCTTCTCCTCCAGTTCTTTTTCCCTTGCCTCCATAGCTCTCCTGTGGGCAGCCTTTGGGCTTTTTCTGCCTCCATAGCTGTCTGGTGGGCAGCCTCTTGAGCTTTTTCTGCCTCTTTTGCTGCCTGCAGTCTGGTTAACTCCAGTTTGTGTTTTTTTTACTTTTTTTAAGTACATCAGTAGCAAGAAGCCTGACAGTGACTGTGGCCACTGAATGATCAAGGTGCTAACAGGGCACCTAAGAGGACAGGGCCATTTCAGAGAAGCTAAATGAATTCTTTTTATTTGTCTTCACTACAGAGAATGTGAGGGAGATTCCCACACATGAGCCATTCTTTTTAGGGGACAAATCTGAGGACCTATTTCAGATTGAGGTGTCAGCGGAGGAGGTTTTGGAATAAACTGATAATATAAACAGTAATAAGTCACTAGGACCAGATGGTATTCACCTAAGAGTTCTGAAGGAACTTAAATATGAAATTGCAGTTCTACTAATTATGGCATGTAACCTATCACTTAAATCAGTCTCTGTACCAGATGACTGGAGGATAATTAATGTAACATCGATTTTTTTTCTTTTTAAGAAGGCTCCAGAGGCAATCCTGGCTATTACAGGCTGGTAAACCTAACTTCAATACCAAGCAAACTGATTGAAACCATAGTAATGAACAGAATTATCAGACACACAGACAAAAGTTATGTTGGAGAAGAGTCAGCATGGTTTTTGTAAAGGGAAATCATGCCTCACTAGTCTCTCAAAATTTTCTGAGAGTGTCAACCAGCATGATGACAAGGGTAGTCCAGTTGTTACAGTGCGCTTGGACTTTCAGAAAGCCTTTGACAAGGTCCCACACCGAAGGCTCTTAAACAAAGTAAGAAGCCATAGGTTAAGGAGGGTCCTCTCATGGATTGGTAACTGGTTAAAAGATAAGAAACAAAGGGTAGGAATTAATGGTCAGTTTTCACAATGGAAAGTGGTAAACAGTGGGGTCCCCCAAGGATATATATTGGCTCCAGTGCTGTTCAACATATTCATAAATGATCTGCAAAAAGAGGTGAACAGTAAGGTGGCAGAGTTTGCAGACAACACAAAATTATTCAAGATAGTCCAAAGCTGACTGTGAAGAATTACAAAAGGCTCTCACAAAACTGGGCGACAAAATGGCAGATGAAATTCACTGTTAAGTGCAAAGTAAGGCACATTGGAAAACATAATCCCAACTATTTATTCAAAATGATGGGATCTAAATTAGCTGGTACCACTCAAGAAAGATCTTGGAGTCATTGTAGATCGTTCATCTGCTCAATGTGCAGCAGCAGTCCAAAAAGCTAATCATGTGAGGAACCAGTAGGAAAAGGATAGATAATAAAACAGAAATACCACAGTGTCACTAAATAAATCCACGGTGTGCCCACACCTTGATTACTGTATGCAGTTCTGGCCACCCCATCTCAAAAAAGATGTATTAAAATTTGGAAAAGGTACAGAGAACCACAACAAAAATTATTAGGGGTCTGGAACAGCTTCCAGATGAGTAGAGATTAAAAAGACTGGGACTGTTGAATGTATTAAAGAGACAACTAAGCGGGGGGATGTGATAGTCTATAAAAATCATGAATGGTGTTGAGAAAGTGAATAAGGAAGTACTATTTTCCTCTTCTGATAAGACAAGAGCAAGGGGTCACTCAATGAAATTAATAGACAGTAAGTTTAAAACAAACGTAAGGAAGTACTTCTTCACACAGTGCACAGTCAACCTGTGGAACTTGCTGCCTGGGGATGCTGTGAAGGCCAAAAAAAATTATATAAGTTAATGGAGGATAAGTCCATCAATGGCTAATAGCCAAGATGGTCAGGGATGTAACCGGATGCTCAGGGTGTCTGTAAACGTCAGACTTCCAGAAGTTGGGACTGGCTGACATGGAATGAATCACTCGATGAATTGCCCTGTTCTGTTCAGTCCCTCTAAGCATATGGCACTGGCCATTTTCAGAAGACAGGGTTCTGCACTATATGAACAGTTAATATGTTTCTTATATTAAACTGGTCTGTAGTAAAACAAATGAATTACTGTTTTATGCACTAAACATTGTTCATTGTTAATTTTTAAAAATAATTTATATTTGAAAAATTGTTTTTTTGAATGTTGTTGTTTATATTCCACAGAAGCCCTTCCTGATGACTTTATTAATAGTTTAGAGAAGACTGAAAAGAACAAGTATAAAGTTACCTTAAAGTATCCCCACTATTTTTCTGTCATGAAAAAGTGCTGCATTCCAGAAACAAGACGAAAAATGGAAACTGCCTTTAACACAAGATGCAAGGAGGTACATCAGATATTTAATTTATGAATTTCTAAGTGTGGCTAGTAATGGTAGTAGATAAAAAAATGTATTATTCAACAGGTACTTTAGAATTTCTAATGATGAAATTCAATACAATTAATAAAAGAAGGCCATAACTGGCTATTTGAGTGTAGATCATTTTTACACAAAAATCAGTCCGGGTCTGTCTGCTGCTTCCATTCACTCACTGTCTGAAGAATCTTCTTGGACAGCACTGTTAAGAATTTATTTTAAGCAGTAAATTCTACCCAGTTAGGTTTTACTACCTTTTCCCCTTTCCAAACAACTGTATGTTTAAGTAAACACATAATTACTGTGCACATTGAAAAGTCTGTAAAACCTGTCACAAGGTTTTAAAATAAATAGTGCCCATGTCTAAATGAATTGATCTCCCAGCTACTTAGTTTATCCAAGTAGTACTTAGTTTATCCAAGCCCACAAAATATGCTCTAATACAGTCATGCTAATCTTAGTGATCCATAGAGATTTTAGTTTTTTATAAATATGCCAGCATCTCCAACAAAAAGATACTTCTGTAACTAATCTTTCTAAATGTTAATTTAATCAGGTTAATAAATTCTTGAGGTAAAAGTGCAGAAAATATATGGCAACTCATCACATTTTTGTTTTATACTTTCATAATAAATTCTTACCTCGTGTCCTGGAAAACATGGTTTGGAGATTTATTTACCAATAGGATCAAATTACTTTTTTAAAGTGCTGTTTGGTAGGTAGAAATATTTGCATAACATGCAACATTAATAAACCACCTCACAAGTAAACTGCTTTTTCTTTCTCTGTTCCAGTAAGCTAGTTCATCTTTTCCATACAGTCACGATTTAGTACCTGACTAAGATTTTTTTCTCTCTCCTATGATTCAAATTTGATTAAAATATCTTAGTTTGCTTTCATGCTAATCTCTCCTTTTTGAAGCCTGCAGGCTTGTAATTGTTTTCCACTTTGCTCTCATGATAAACATGAAACCATAGAAGATTGTGCTTCAGTCTTTTCAGTATTCCTGATCTTATAAAAGGAACCACACTTGAAAAAGGAGTGTTATGTGGCAGTACGTAGTATAGTAGCATAGTGTGTCTACTCTCTGTACTTGAATATATCTTTTATTAACACAAATGTGAGCTATTGTAGATATGTTTCAAGGAAAGAATAAGACTTTGTTGCTGCCAATATTCATCAATACTCAAACCTCTACACAACATTATATTTGCAGGAAAAAATTGTGATAGAGAAGATCTTATTTTCTAGAACAAATTCTCCTATATTTGCAGTTGAGATCCCGCCCATCAACATAATTTTAGTATTAGGCACTGTGCTCCTGGAGATAGAGGCTAGACGCTAGCACTCACTCACGACTGGTCTGTGGATGAGGATTCTTAAGTGGGTTCCTGCTGAGGGGGCCCTAAAGATCCTGGTTCAATGCCAAGTCTCTCATTAAGACTCTTTATATTGCTCTGGCAGTGTAAATGGCCAGTAAATTGGGCAATGAATTTATGCTCACTTTATGGTCCCTTTGCCCTAGTAGAACAGTGAAAAAAGCCCTTCGTGTAAATAGGAATCAGGCTCTAAAACTTGGCATTGAACCTGGATCTAGACCTCAGTTTCTCCTTCCACAGACAAGCAGTGAGTGGGAATGCTCGGAGGCACTTTATACTGCCAATTAAAGGACAGAAGTAGTGAGCTCCAGAGTGAGTCCAGCTAAATACACTATGGCTGATAAGATGGGCGTAGCATGGGCAATGTGAATAGGTGGTGTGGGGCAAAAAAATAAAAAAAAACGGGGATTCTCCTGTTGACTGAGCTGCAGGGGATAGCTTAGTGGTCAAAACATTAGATTTGTACGGTCTAGATACCCTGGCACCACAGGTTCAATGTCAGCATTGATTTTGCCTTTCATACTTCCAGGTTCCACATAGTTTATTCTTTTGATTCTTTCAGATGGGACTTCAGTGTCCTCACAGACAGAACATCGGTTTTTAAAGTCCTGATGATGATATTAATAGAAGTAGGGGTTTGCCCATATGTCCTTAATTGTCATTCAGGCATTTAATTAGAGAACAATTGCGTAACTGAGCTTTTGTATTTGGTACACTGGCAAATGTGAAAAGTACAAGATAAGATAAAACAGCACTAAGAATTGAACCCTACATATCTAGCATATTTAAAGGGATACACATTCAAGGCTGATGGGCCCATAGTTGAACTTACCCTAAAAATAACTTTTTAAAAGTATTTCATTCTGACCCTGAGAAATCTCACTTATCCAAATTGGGAGCTACACTGTAGATACATTCTCGATTTCACCACTTTTAACAAAAGGTGGGCATGGCTTTGTTTGCATTTGGAATGCACATCACAACTGTATTTTGATCAATTTTATTCAACTTCTAATTGACCAAAAAACCCCAATAATGCTCTTCCTAGTGCTCAGATTTGTAACCTTAAAAAGAAACTGTTGGTTTCAGTGAAATGATAATTATCCTGACTGCTTAGAAAAATCAGGACTCTGACCACTGTCCATCAAATTGTAGATCCTGTGCCATAAAAAATTTCAGGAATCCTACCAAAAATACATTTTTACTTATAACATTTTTGAGTAATAATCTCAATATGTTTCATTTAAAATATCTGCTATTCCTTATGATTTTAGTTCAAATTTTATTCAAATTATTATTTTGATCATATGAATTTAGTTGTCTTTAATTCATCATAACCTTGCCTTCTTTTTCATAGGAAAATACTAAAATTCTTCAGCAGTTGCTTCCCTTAAGGGCAAAAGTAGCAGAGCTTCTTGGGTACAATACTCATGCCAACTTTATACTGGAGGTGAACACTGCAAAGAGCACGGATAATGTAACAACCTTTTTAGGTTTGTTTTTATTTATGTGTTATACTTTATATTTAGATCTGCAACGTGACTCGGTACCCGAGGGAAGCTTAAATATGAAACTGGAGTACAGAGCACACAGACAGTTCATTTGGAACAGGAGCTCTCTGCCCCATCCCTTTTAATATTTTTAAGAGTCTGTTCTCCAAGCACAGGCATGACTGTGTTAAATATAATGGGAGTTCTGGTATGAATAGAGAGGATAAGAGAGTTCGTAGGTTGTAAGAGTTTCCAGAGGAACAATTTAAAACTACTTAATGCATCAAGGGGTTGTCCTTTCTAGTAATCTGTTTTGTGATCTCCCTTCTCATGTCAGTGTGTTCTTGCGTCAATAACTGCATCAAAAAATTTCTCTTAAATAGCTATGTAGGAATTGCTGTCCTGAAACAAGCAACTGATCCATCTAGCTGACTATCCTGTCCACAGCAATTGCTTCTAATCGGTGCTTTAGAGAAAGGGAAAAAAGCTCTGATACTGTACTTGCTTCCATTATTTAGCACTTGACATGGCCCTTGTAATATTTATCTTGGCTAAGATAACTGACAGTGGTGTGTTTATTCATACAAGCAAGGCTCGTCATGGCTGTTACAGTAATCATGGATTTCATTATAATTCAAAAATATTCATAACTTTTAGCCATTTTGAGATTTTTCCACGTGGGCAAATGGATGTGATAGTAATCGCTGAACTGATTTCACTGAGCAACTTGAAGTCTGCCAACTGAAACCCTGGGCTACATGGGAAGTTAATATAGAGCAGGAGCTCAGCATTAACATTGTAGTAATGCAAAGTGCTGAACTCCATTTGTCCAGAGATTGAGTTACCTTGAATGCTGTTTGGTTTCTGTTTACTTGGTTGTTTTTGCTTTTGTATTATTTGTTTTGAGATTGCATGAGACTCTTGAAAATTAGTCCTTGTATGTCATTGGGACTTAGAAAATTAATATATGGGCTTGTATTGTAAGATTCGCAAAAAGAAAAGGAGTACTAGTGGCACCTTAGAGACTAACAAATTTATATGAGCTACAGCACGCTGTAGCTCACGAAAGCTTATGCTCAAATAAATTTGTTAGTCTCTAAGATGCCACTAGTACTCCTTTTCTTTTTGCAAATACAGACTAACACGTCTGCTACTCTGAAACCTATTGTAAGATTGTGTCCTTTAAATATAAAGTTTTTTAATTATTTATTGTGGAGAGAAGAATTTCATCAGTTAATAATCATATTTGCTCTGTTTCTTTTGATATTATTAGACATAAGTATTTGGAGCTGATCTGCTGTGTTTTTTTAACAATGTTCATATTTGAAATTGATCATCAATAAATCCTACAGTTTGCTGAAAAAGTGTGCAGTCCTTTGACATGCTTTTAATCTACTTCGTTGTGAGTAGTATGTTGTTACTATTTATTAGCAATAGAAATGTACACAGTACTTCAAAGTACAATTAGAAACAGAGGTCGTTGCCCCCAAAGCTCACAATTTAAATTTGTATTCACCATTGTATTGAAATACTAGAATTTTAAAAATAATCTGATTGCAGAACTTTGACATTCTAAGACTCTAATATAAATGTCAGAATAAATCTAGATTGTGTTTTCTGGGAGTTTCACTGAGATAAAATGTTTTACTCTTTTTGATCCTTTATCTCCAATGTAATAGTGTAAAATAATGTAAAAATCAGTGGAATTATAGGGCATAATGTCCAATGGCCTAGCAAATATGGGCTGCTATTGAGATGATCCAGTGTAGGCAAAAAACGTGACACTCTTCTACCTTCAGCTAATTGGCTTGAGCTGGGAATAGGACAGAGGTTGCCCTGTAAGGATCTGGGGGAAAGCTACAATATGAATCATCATATCACACCTTCTATGGCTGATAAAAAAAACAGTTGAAGGATAGGTGCTGTACTTGTAGCTACTACTAAACTATAATGAAGAGAAATCAGAATTACATGGGGTGGGATCGGAGATTTAAGGTAGATGAGTACAGTGTTAACTAGTTACTACAGGGAATTATTTTCCAGGTGTCTGGCTGGTGGGTCTTGCCCACATGCTCATAGTATAACTATTTGGGGTCGGGAAGGAATTTTCCCGTGGGTCAGATTGGCAGAGACCCTGAGGGTTTTTCGCTTTCCTCTGCAGCATGGGGCACAGGCCACTTACAGGTTTAAACTAGTGTAAATAGTGGATTCTCTGTAACTTATCATGATTTGAGGACTTCAGTAACTCAGCAAAAGGTTAGGGATCTGTTACAGGAGTGGATGGGTGAGGTTCTGTGGCCTGCAGTGTGCAGGGGGTCAGACTAGAGATTATTATGATGATCCCTTCTGACCTTAAAGTCTATGAGTCTGTTTCTTTTTTGGATGTCCTTAGAAAAGAATGAAAGATGCTATGACATTTAACCCTTGCCATTGATGATGGTGCAAGAGTGCACATGCTCATATCTCAGACATCCCTGTAACCAAAACAGAAAGGCAAGCAATGAAGTCGTCATTAATTGAGAAAGGGAAAATTGTGGTGGCTGGTATTAGATAAATACCTTTTTTTACTATTTGTATAAATCTAAATAAATATATTAGTTCTCCAGTAGTACTAGTAGTCACATAGTACAATTTGGAACAGACAAGTTGACACAAAGGTAAATCTCTGGTTGCATTTTCAGATGATTTAAGTAAGAAGCTAAAACCACTGGGTGACGAGGAGAGAGAGTTTATTCTGGACTTGAAGAAAAAGGAGTGTGAAGAAAGAGGCTTTGACTATGATGGAAGAATCAATGCATGGGATTTACATTATTATATGAACAAGACAGAAGAGCTTAAATATTCCATAGATCAAGAGAAGCTGAAGGAATACTTTCCAGTTGAGGCTGTTACACAAGGCTTATTGAACATTTACCAGGAGCTGCTGGGACTTGTATTTGAGCAGGAAGAAAATGCTCATGTTTGGCATGAGAGTGTTACTCTTTATACAGTAAAAGACGATTCAACAAGAGAAGTTTTAGGTCAGTTCTACTTAGACCTCTATCCCAGGTAATTCTATAATTTATTGCTTTATTTTAAAAGTATTAAGGTGGAGTTAACCTTAGCTGGGGGTGGAGTTATATGAATCTGGAAGTAAACTTTTTTGCTGCTTAAATTCCAGAGTGTTTCTGGGAGGGAAGCATTCATATGGCTACTTGTATTCTATCTGCATATGTCTTCAATAAGTTTCAGACATGATTCAAACATGATTTAATTGAGGATTGGTCCTGCATTGAGCAGGGGGTTGGACAAGATGACCTCCTGAGGTCCCTTCCAACTCTGATATTCTATGATTCTATGACACCATTCCTTTAAACTTCTGTCTTTGCTGGGTATAGTTATGTTCGGGTCAGAATCCCTGACCCAGACATAAGTGAGATTGCTGGCTAATACTATAGGTGATATTTATTTTTCTCTTTTGTTTGTGCCCTTCACATGGCATGTCAACACTGGTAGAGAGGGATGTGTTCCTGTCTTCTGTCCATCAGGCAGGAGATGCTAATCAGGATGAAGGAATTTTTGTTGCTGCTCCACCTCTTTTTAACTCCCTGCAGGTAAACTTCCACTTGCTTTCCAGTTCATGTTGAAGGAACTGAGGAGAACAGCTGGTGCCTTTGGCTGAACCACCCTCTTGGAGCTCATTCAGCCTGAGTCTTCTGGGTAGAGAAAAGAGCAGAGAATCACTCAGGAAATTAAAACTTGACTCTGACCACAATGTGGAACTTTAGTCCTCTATTGTGGCCCCTGGGTGCATCATCTCTCCACAGGTAGCTAGGAGGGCTGTCAAGCGATTAAAAAAATTCATTGTGATTCATCGCACTGTTAAACAATAATAGAATACCATTTATTTAAATATTTTTGGATGTTTTCCACCTCTTTAAATATATTGATTTCAATTATAACACAGAATACAAAGTATACAATGTTCCCTTTATATTTATTTTTATTACAAATATTTGCACCATAAAAAACAAAAGAAATAGTATTTTTCAATTCACCTCATACAAGTACTGTAGTGCAATCTCTTTATCATGAAAGTTGAACTTACAAATGTAGAATTCCATACAAAAAATACCTGCATTCAAAAATAAAACAGTGTAAAACTTTAGAGTCTACAAATCCATTCAGTCCTACTTCTTGTTCAGCCAATCGCTCAGACAAACAAGTTTGTTTACATTTGTAGACAGAGCCATATCTAGCATATGGCGAATCGAGGTGGCCATTCCAGGCCCCACGCTTTGGGGGGGCCCCGCGGTGGCCACCCCGAGTCGTCATAGCCTAGGGACGGCTTTGTGTGTGTGTGTTGTGCAGGGGCTGCTAGGACGGCCCAGGGAGGGTGGGATTGGGGGGGGGGGACCAGGCTGGCCCTGGGGGCTTAGAGGGGGCCTGGCGCCGGCAGTGAGGGTTGGGCCCACACTCACCGGTGGGAAGCGGCAGCAGCAACCCCAGCCCGCCCGCACCTCCCTGCCGGTTCCCGGCATTGCTCTGGGGGGTGTCCCAGCCCCCACACCCTCCAAGGGATGGCCCTGTTTGCAGGAGATAATGCTGCCCGCTTCTTGTTCACAGTGTCATCTGAAAGTGAGAACAGGTGTTTGCATGGCACTGTGGTAGCTGGCATCACAAGATATTTACATGCCAGATGCACTAAAGATTCATATGTTCCTTCATGCTTCAAGCACCCTGCCAGAGGTCATGCATCCATGCCGATGACAGTTTCTGCTCGATAACGATCCAAAGCAAATGCCACTAGCAGAAGGATCTTGTTTGGTGGTTTGGGTTCTGTAGTTTCTGCATCGGAGTGTTGCTCTTTTAAGACATCTGAAAGCATGCTCCACACCACATCCTGCTCAGATTTTGGAAGGCACTTCAGAGTCTTAAACCGTGGGTCGAGTGCTGTAGCTATCTTTAGAAATCTTACATTGGTACCTTCTTTGCGTTTTGCCAAATCTGCAGCAAAAGTGTACTTAAAATGAACAACGTGCTGTCATCATCCAGGACTACTTAACATGAAATATATGGCAGAATGCAGGTAAAATAGAGCCAGAGACAAACAATTCAGTCACAAATTTAATTAACACATTTTTTAACGAGCGTCATCAGCATGGAAGCATGTCCTCTGGAATGGTGACCAAAGCATGAAGAGGCATAGAAATGTTTAGCATATGTGGCACGTAGATACCTTGCAATGCTGGCTACAAAAGTGCCATGCAAAGGCCTGTTCTCACTTTCTGGTGATGTAAATAAGAAGTGGGCAGCATTATCTCCCATAAATGTAAACAGAGTTGTTTGTCTTAGCGATTGGCTGAACGAGAAGTAGGACTGAGTGGACTTGTAGGCTCTAAAGTTTTACATTGTTTTATTTTTGAATGCGGGTATTTTTTGTATAGAATTCTACATTTGTAAGTTAAACTTTCATGATAAAGAGATTGCGCTACAGTACTTGTATGAGGTGAATTGAAAAATACTATTTGTTTTGTTTTTTATGGTGCAAATATTTATAATAAAAAATAATAATATAAAGTGAGCACTGTACACTTTGTGTTCTGTGGTGTAATTGAAATCAATATATTTGAAACTGTAGAAAAAATTCAAAAATATTTAATAGATTTCTTTTGGTATTCTATTGTTTAACAGTGCGATTAAAACTGCGATTATTGCAATTTTTTAAATCGCAATTAATTTGTTTGAGTTAATTGCGTGAGTTAACTGCGATTAATCGACAGCCGTAGTACCTACTGATGGGAGCAGGATCAAATTCCTTCTGTCCCCTATCAGTGATCTGTATGTGTCTCCTCTTTGCCTCCTAAGAGGAAACTTGCTTTTATTTCATTATCCCTGTGCCCCTTTCCAGCATATTATCTAGAGACCTCTTCTCCGCTCTAGCTGGCAGGAAGTTGCTCTGTGTCTCGCTCCAATATCTCCTTGAGGAGAAGTCTGCAAGTGCTTTAGACTGAGCAGGCAAAAATTCTCTGACTCCTTCACCGAGACTCTCCCATCTTTGGGGCAGCTATCAACACCATGCAGGGGAAAAGTCTTTCCTTCTTTAGAAAGAATCTCAAAACTCAACTCTTCCTGATAGCCACATCTGTCCAATCCAGTCCAGTCCTGCTGATAACATTGGTCTTATGCTAGGACCTGGTTCCATTGCCACAGTTTCATTCCAGAACCTTAGAATCATAGAATATCAGGGTTGGAAGGGATCTCGGGAGGTCATCTAGTCCAATCCCCTGCTCAAAACAGGACTAATCTCCAACTGAATCACCCAGCCAGGGCTTTGTCAAGCCTGACCTTAAAAACCTATAAGCATGGAGATTCCATCACCTCCCTAGGTAACCCATTCCAGTGCTTCACCACTCTCCCAGTGAAAAAGTTTGTCCTAATATCCAACCTAAACCTCCCCCACTGCAGCTTGAGACCATTACTCCTCGTTCTGTCATCTGCTACCACTGAGAACAGCCTAGATCCATCCTCTTTGGAACCCTCTTTCAGGTAGTTGAAAGCAGCTATCAAAACCCCCCTCATTCTTCTCTTCTGCAGACTAAATAAGCCCAGTTCCCTCAGCATCTCCTGATAAGTCACGTGCTCCAGCCCCCTAATCATTTTTGTTGCCCTCCGCTGGACTCTTTCCAATTTTTCCACATCCTTCCTGTAGTGTGGGGCCCAAAACTGGACACAGTACTCCAGATGAGGCCTCACCAATGCCGCATAAAGGGGAATGATCACGTCCCTCGATCTGCTGGCAATGCTCCTACTCATACAGCCCAAAATGCCGTTAGCCTTCTTGGCAACAAGGGCACACTGTTGACTCAACCTTTTGGCAGTTCCTGCTGAGTCTTCCGTGTTGCAGGGGAGAACTTGGAGATGCTCATCCAATCGTCTTTTCTTTAGTGGATGTGTCAGTCTCACACTGAATGTGATTCCTCTCTAGGCCCCATCTTACCTAAATGTCTCATGTTACTTGGGGCTCTGGAGTGACTAAGGTTTCTCGAAGTGCACTGCCTGTCCCACAGGATCTGCTTCCCAGGGCCCAAGAAGATCCACTTCAGGTGGACTCCATCCTACATCCTAATCCCATGGCCCTAAATTTAAGGGCTTGGTCCTTGAGCAGAGCCTTCTAAAAGTGTTTGAGTATCTCAGGCAAGTTTTTGATCATTTTCTTGAATTCATGCATCCTTCGCATAATATGGGGCTTGGGCTTCACTCTCGGTGGTGCAAAAGTCTTTCAGCCTAAAAATCTTTCTTCCTGCTATCCTGGACTTCCTCTAGGCAGGGTTTGACAAGAACATGTCAAGATACCCTAGAGTGCTGGCCTGTGCACTTAATGGACTTGGTTCAGATAGATGGCTTCCCAGTAGCACAGACCAACTAATCGCCAATTTGCTGAAAGTGGTCTCTTACCTTAGGCCTCCAGTTAAGTCTCCCATGCCTCCATGGAGATTTTGTCTTATTTTTAGATCCCTTTAAACCTCTGAGGTCTCTCCATCTCTATGTGCTGGAAATTGGCTTTTTGCTGGGCAGGGAATGCTACAATTCAGGCTACAACCTCATATGACATCATTATGCAGGTCCTCTAACCAACGTCCTTCAGTAAAGAAAGGGAAGTGAGGGCCTGGTATTATTAATGTAAAAAGCAAGGGGGAAATGACACTAACTTCTTGCATCATAAAACCGCAATAAGGAAGGGGGACAGGAATATTTTGGACTTCATGTTTAGTGACTCACTTTTAATTATGACAATTTTTCTAACTGTATTAACTAACAGTTTAATTAAAATCACGTTTTGTTTTAAAATCACATTGCTAAAGCAGCAAACCCTGTTCTTTATTCTTTAAATGTGCTCAAATGCTAGTAACAAAAGCTAATGCTTCACAGAATGGGATTTGTCTTTCATACTGTAATGGTCATGTCTAAGATTAAGTAAAATTAACTTTTAGAAGCAGCAGAGTTATCACTTTTGATTACAGTAATATACTATATAAATAAAAAAGAAGCTTGCAAATGCTGCTCTAAATATTAAAGTGATGGGATTTAGAAGTACTTTTTCTTTGTGCTCTCAGTAGAATCCTAAGCACAGTGACTTTTATAAAGGTCATAGGACACTATCTTATTGTGGTTTTTTTAAATAAAAGAAAGAGGGTCCCTTCCTCATATAACATCATAGAGGGAAACAGCCCTCTTCCCCATGCTATTTGTGGAAGATAGGCCTATTGTGTAAGGATGGCTTTTGGTATATTTCCTTGCTCAGAGAAGGGAAGTATGGGCATGCAGCATGCTTTGGTCTCCAGCCTGGCTGCCTACGCTCTGATGGCAGCAGAATGATGTCTGTAGCTGCTCTGGTGACCAACTTCACAAAACCAACATCAGATCGCCCATCATTGCTGCAACATGATGAGGTGAAGACTTACTTCCATGAGTTTGGTCACGTAATGCACCAGATATGTGCGCAGGTAAGTAATGTTTCTATTTCATTAAAATAACTAATTCTTCACAGTCTCTCAAAGTGTTGGTGGGGGAGGGGTAAACCCTGTTTGATGGGTGTATGGTTTCCTTAAGGTAAGTATTTAAGAGCTTCACGGTAACTTTTCACAGTTGATACTTGTTTTGAGTTTTTGTGTACAAGCCCAGCAGTGAATACAACTTCTGGAAAGTGTTCGTGTAACAGCAAATCCTTTTCCCTCTGTACAGCCTGAGCAACTGGGGCTGAGGAATGAGCAGCTCCACGAGGAAGGAACCCTCCCATAGGCAACAGAGCTACTTTGGGGCTAACACTGCAATTGTTGTTTTTGATAGTATCTGCAGTGTATTAGGAACTGTACGGACACAAAAGAAAGCAGAGTCCCTGTCCCAAAGACTGGAAATGGCCGATGAATCCACTGTCCTCACATGCCTCCAATCCCAGTCACTTTCTGCATGGTGGCGGCACATACATAGGGAGCCCTCACAAAGCTGCTCTTCTTGGTACAGAGGGTGCATACATCCCCTACCTGAGCTTCCTGAATGCTACCTTTATTCCTCCCTCCACCATGTAGCAGAGTCACACCAGTCCTGCAGCAGTCAGGAGCCTCCACATAAGCAGAAAGGCTGGAATTGTCCTGGAGACTTGTCATAAAGACATAAATAAGCTGCTTAGTTTCATCTTTAGTTGAACCGCATTTAAGATTGATTCTGCTATGATGATGATAGATTTATTATTAGTCCAATTCATTTGTTTCCCTTTGTTTGAAAAGTATAGCCTTCAGTGTTTCTTCTTAAAAACTGTAAATTCTGTACCATCAGCCCATCAGTCCAGAACTCATGTGGTTGCACTCTGGCCTCTTTAACCAATAGGTAGCAGCACAAATAAAATGTCAAAGGTATGTAGCATACTTAGGATTTCATTTCCTGGCTTCCAGTCCCAGGTAGAACTTCCACAGAACAAGGAACATATAAATCTACTAGCTAAATTTGGAATTAAACAAGTTGGATTCTGAATTCAGAGCTAACAGCTAAATTTTGTACATATCTTTTCTCTCCCGGCTTGTCTGTGAAAAATGGGAAGAATCCAGCTATTCACTCTTGCCTCAAGATATCTAGGAAACACAATTTCGGAGTGCAAAAATTAAAGAGAAAACCCTGCCCCTTCCTCCACAGCTACGGAGGGATTCCTGGTGACTGGAACACATGTGGATCTGCTGCAGAAATGAGAGTAGGATTTGAAGGATCCAAATAGGGATGCGCTTTCTTGGCACAGAGTGATTTAGAAGACTAAGGGACATTTCATTCATGCTGCCAATGGATTTCACTTCTTTCAAGCCCAGCGGCACCCCTTAGTTCAAAAATATTGTGCAGTATTTCAGATGCCAGCATACTCCTACAGAATTAACAAAATTGGAGGGATAGTGCTCAACAGGATAAATGAGTCAAATGAAATCCCTGAAGCAGGTCTACATGCAATAGAAGTAAAGCATTATACAGCAATTATACAAGTTAATCACTGAGTTACTTTTGTGATAGAACAAAATTTTGTAGCATGTTTACAAAGTAATTATATTGAGTAAATTAGATTTATTTTTAGGGTTGTCAATTAATTGCAGTTAATGCATGCAATTAACACAAAACAAATTAACTAGATTTAAAAAGTCGCAATTAATCCCTTGTTGTAATCACACTGTTAATAATAGAATACTAATTAAATTTATTATAACTATTTTGGATGTTTTTCTACATTTTCAAATATATTGATTATAATTACAACACAGAATATAAAGTGTACAGTGTTCACTTTATATTATTATTTTTATAACAAATATTTGCACTGTCTACTCAGTCGTACTTCTTGTTCAGCCAGTCGCTCAGACAGACAAGTTTGTTTATGCTCCCCGCTTCTTATTTACAGGTTCACCTGAAAGTGAGAACAGGTGTTTGCATGGCACTGTTCTAGCCAGCGTTGCAAGGTATTTATGTGCCAGATATACTAAACTTTCGTATGCCCCTTCATGCTTCGACTTGTAGGCTCTAAAGTTTACACTGTTTTGATTTTGAGTGCAGTTATGTTAAAAAAAAAATTCTAAGTTTGTAGGATGCACTTTTATGGTAAAGAGATTGCACTACAGTACTTGCATGAGGTGAATTGAAAAATACTGTTTCTTTTGTTTATTTTTTTACAGTGCAAATATTTGTAATAAAAATAATATAAAGTGAGCATTGTACACTTTTTATTCTGTGTTGTTATTGAAATCAATATATTTGAAAATGTAGAAAAACATCCAAAATATTTATAATACATTTAAATTGGTATTCTATGATGGTTTAATAGTGTGATTAAAAAGGCGGTTAATTGCGACTATTTTTTCAATCTCGTGATTAATTGCAATTTTTTAAAATTGTTTGATAGCCCTAGTTATTTTGTGATGTCATGGGGCAATGCTGAAATGTAATTATATTGCTATAATATGTCATGTAAGAGAGAGTAAGAAAAATAGACCTGTTTCTGAGTTCCTGTGACTAAGAATCACTGCATGATATATTGTTTTGGTTAGTTTTCTCATTGCTTATAATTTAACTTTTCTTCTTCCCTCTCTTAAAGTTTGAGGCTATTTTAACATTGATCTTTCTTGTAATACAGCTGTTTATAATTCTGCCCTGTTTTTACACCATCACAGTTTTGGCACCTTACATAGGTTGACATTTTACTAGATATATGATCTAATCTCATTTATATTTTAATTTAATATAATGGAGGGTTTTTGTTGTGTTTTTGTTTCTTTGCTTGTTTTTTGTTTTTGTTAGACTGATTTTGCTCGATTTAGTGGAACTAATGTGGAAACAGACTTTGTAGAAGTTCCTTCACAAATGTTTGAGAACTGGGTATGGGAAAAAGAACCTCTACAGCAAATGTCAAAACATTATAAAGATGGGAGCCTTGTTGGAGATGCTCTTCTTGAGAAACTTGCTGCCTCTAGAATGGCCAATACAGGTATCTTTTTTCTTTTACATACCAAAAGCATTCATGAAATGGTAGGAAAGACATAGGGCAATATCCTGCATAATAGAGAACAGGCATATGCCTTAGATAGCAGTCTCTTCTTCCTTCACTGTGTATCCACCTCCTCCATGACTGCTACTGAGAGGTAAGCGCACCTCTAGAGAAGAAAGGCCCATTAGATTATACCTTGGAAATGAGTGCAAAAACTGCTTAAATGCTGAGATTTACTGTAAAAAAAAATTTGATATCTTAATTGTGTTCAAACTGTGAGAAAAATACAATTTAAAAAGATGGAGCTTGTAACAGCAACTCCTTCCAACAGCCTTTCCAACCTTTTTTTAATTATTCATTTCAACTAAGAGGAAGAACAATTAATGCACTAGACTGGGAGTCTGGAGACTTTCCTGACTGCTACTATCTCTTTCTGATTATTATTATTTGTGCTGTGGTGAAACCCCACCCCCCAAAACCACTACCAGCATTATGCTTGCTGTTTAACAGACACACAGAAACACATTATCTCTGCTCTCCAACATGTGTGTATAAAATAAAATAAGAAGGGAAGTAGGATAGAGGACAAAGATAACAGTAATGAGAGCATATGTTTACAGAGGCTTACCTATGTGTCTACCTTAAAAGTCCCAAATGACTTAAAATTGCTTTTTGTCAAATATCAACAACCCCCTTAAGTCCTCTTCCTAGCTATTGTCACTTGGCAATTTCCTTTGGCACAGACTTCCTGTGTGTACATGGGTAAGTCTCTGTGCTTGATTCTCTGTCTTTAAAATGAAAATGATATTTATTGTCCTCACTGGATTTTACAGTGCCTAACTCATTAATGTGTATAATGCATGTTGAAATCCTTGGATGGCTGATACTATAGAAACCCAGCGTATTACTATAACATTTATAAACCAAATGCCCTTATACCACTAGGTCTTTTGACTCTTCGTCAGATTGTTTTGAGCAAGGTTGACCAGTCCATTCATACCAAATCATCTGCTGACCCTGCAGATGAATATGCCAAGTACTGCATGGAGATTCTGGGAATTTCTGCAACCCCAGGTATGTAAAAGTAAAGTTTTCATGCAGGATGTCTGACTGCTTCAGATAAGCATACAGTACCTTCACAGTAGGTCTTATAGCAAATCAGGTGAATATGGTTTAGAACAGAAATCCAGTTTATGAAACTGAACTCCTTACTTTGAAATAAGACAAGAAAGGTCATTAATGTTATTACATCAAAAATATCCATTTGCAGCTAGGATATATTCCAGACTGATACATTAATGCCCTTCTAAATCTGAAGCACTATTATATGTTAAAGGGATGATTACATTTGATTTCAACATTAATAATTTGTTAATGTTTCTTTCTTCTTCAAGAGCTTGTTCATATCCATTCCATATTAAGTGTGTGCACACCATGTGCACTGTTGCCAGAAATTTTTCCCTTAGTGGTATCTGTCGGGACAGCTCTTGCGCCCTCTGGAGCTGCACACTCATGTGCCGGTATAAGGTGCGCTGCCAACCTTGCACCCTCTGTTCCTTCTTACCGCACATGACAGTTGCTTGAATGACCCTTTTTGCTGTGGCAAGGTTTCTTCCCAGTGGTTTTTGAACTCTAACTCTTTGTACTTAGTTGTCATCTTTTAGTGTATATAGTTTTTGTAATTAGTATTAGCGTAGTTAGTGTAAATAGTTCCTGTTGTTGAAGGACTCCTTCACCCCAGGCTTCAAATCTTCTGCTTCCTGTGACAAACCTATGTCCATGAGTGACTCGCCCTCCAGCTGCTTGAAGTGCTTGGGGGAAACTCACATGGACAAGTATCAGATCTTTTGGGACTTCAGACCCTCCACTAAAAAGGAAAGAGACATTAGGCTGAAAACTAGCCTCATGGAAGCCACCCTCAGAGCCGCGCCGCTCTGATTCAGTTCTGAGCACTTAGACATCAGTGAGAAGTGCTCCTCTGGCACCAAGCTCTTCCTGGCACTGTTCACTATCTCCAGTGCCAAAGAAGAAGCACAAAAAGCAGCACATCAATGGAGGGCGCTTGCCAGTGCACAAGAAAGACAAGTGTGGGGAAAGCAGCACAGTGAGATCCGTGCCAGGCCATTCTTCCACTCCTGGGCCCACAATATCACCATTGATTTTTGCCTAGAGTGTTGAGTCTGGTGCAGGACCCTCCAACGACACCCGAAGCCACCGTGGCACTAGCAGTCTGACTGTTCTGTCAACCCCGGAAGCTTTCCAAGTGGCGAGGGGGCTACTTTCTCTCCTGGTCGCCTTAACTCCATTGGGACACCTTCCAGCTCCGATGTCCAGAAGCAGGAAGGAACAAGGAGCTCCTTCCTGGCACCCTCTAGCGGCAAGTTGACCCTGATCCCAGTGTCCTAACCATTTATGGTCCGCTGCTGGTCCCTGGACCTCCAGCACCACAGGGTGGCAGAATCAGGTACTGCTCCAAGAGCAGACTCCTCCTCTTAATTCCAAGGGAAACCGTACGTGCAACCTAAGGCTCACCACCGGTACCCAGCCTATTCACCACTGGACTTTGGTACCAGTCCCCATGCCAACAGCTGGCCAGCAGGTCACTGACCAATGTAGTGGCCTTACTGGAACCCCTGGGAGATTCTCCCCAGGCACTGGGGCCTCACTCCCATAGTTCCTACTCAGTGGTTTCCAAGAGTTGGGCTGCTGGCACTTGGCACTGGCCCCCAACTCTGTACTGACCCTTGTGACAATGTTCAGGAGAAAGAAAAGGAGTACTTGTGGCACCTTAGAGACTAACCAATTTATTTGAGCATAAGCTTTCATGAGCTACAGCTCACTTCACAGCTGTAGCTCACGAAATTGGTTAGTCTCTAAGGTGCCACAAGTCCTCCTTTTCTTTTTGCGAATACAGACTAACACGGCTGTTACTCTGAAAAATGTTCAGGAGATGACTCTGGTGGATGTCATTGAGACTAAAGAAGAAGAGAGATCCCCTCCTCTGGTGCAAGCCTCCTCCTCCTCTCCAGGACAATTTCAGGGCCCATCAGGACCTCCTGAAGTGGGCAGCAATGAAGCTGGGTCTGGAAATTGAGGACCTTAAAGAGACATCATACAGCCTTATTGATATCCTGGCTGCAGCAGCTCCCTCCAAGGTGGCCTTACCCATCAATGAGGCTGTGAAAGGACCGATTAAGGTCCTGTGGCAAACTCCTTCTTCTTTGCCCCCCATCTCAAAGAGGGCAGAGAAGAAGTATTACGTGCCAGCGAGTGGGTTCAAATACTTGTACTCACACCCTCCTCTAGGGTCCCTGGTTATGTCTGGAGCAAACAAGAGGGACAGGCAGGGACAGTTGAGCGCTACCCGTAAACAAAAAGACTCCAAGAAACTGGACTTTTTCAGAAAGGTTTATTTAAAGGGTAGCCTTCAACTACGTATCTCTAACCAGCAAGTTTTGCTGGAGAGATGTGATTTATAATCTGTGGTACTCCCTGGCTAAATTTAAAAACTCTGTCCCAAGATTCAAGGCAGGAGTTCACTGCCCTTTTGGAAGAGGGTAAGAATGTGGCCAGGACCTCTCTCCAGGAGACTTTGGATGCAGCCAACTCAGCAGCCAGGACAATGGCCTCCGCTATCACCATGAGGTAGTTGTTCTTGGCTCCAATTCTCGGAGTTTCCTCACATGGTCCAACAATCTATCCAGGACTTCCCCTTCGAAGGCTCCTCTCTATTCTTGGAACAGACAGACACTGACCTCACAGCCGGACGGACTCAAGGGCCACCCTACAATCCTTAGGCCTTTATGCTCCATTGGTTTCCAGGAAGCACTTCAGGCCCCAGCAGCCTCCTCATTTCTTGATGCCTCCAAGACAAGAGCCCTACAAAAGAAAAGGGAGAGGTTAAGTGGTGCCAACCGCTCTCATCCACCTTAACCTCCCAGATGGGGTCTCAGAGGTACTCTGGGGCCTTTTGAAGGTGCATCTGAGGGCATTACCACAAGTCGCTGTTTCAGATCCGTCTCCCCTTTTATTTTTGGACCGTCTGTCCCATTTCAGCCCAGCATGGTCATAGATAACATTGGACTGTTCAGTTCTAAGTACAGTGACAGTCAGCTATATCCTTCAATTTTATCCACCCCTTCCTCCCACCTCTCTTCAGGGACCCTTCTCGCAAACAACTCCTCGTCCAGGGGGTGCAATCTCTTCTACAAATGGGGTCTGTGGAGGAGGTTCCGCAAGATTAGGGAGGAAAGGGGTTTTACTCGTGATATTTCCTAATTCCAGAGGGGGTCTCCAGCCCATTCTGGACCTGTCTCGCCTCCTCAGATATCTCAAGAAACTGAGGTTCCGCATGGTCTCCTTAGCCGAGACTGGTACGCTACCCTCAACTTAAAGGACGCATACTTTCACATTTCTATCTTCCATGGCCACAGAAGATTTCTCAGGTTTGTCATGGGTCAGCGCCACTACCAATTCACCACTCTTCCCTTCGGCCTGTCAGCAGCCCCTGGTTTTCACAAAGTGTATGGCAGTAATATCAGCCTTCCTCAGATGGTGAGGCATCTAAGTCTACCCATCTCTCCAACAACTGGCTGATCAAAGGCTGGTCACGAGCTCAAGTTCAGAACAGCATCAGCGTGGTCCAAGCCACCTTCTGATAAACTGGGTTTACTGATAAACGAACAGAAGTAAACTCTTGTCCCGGCTCAGAGTATAAAATTTATTGGGGTGATGCTCAACTTGACCCAAGCCAGGGCCTGCCTACCAGAGGCCTGATTCCGGACCATGGAAGACCTGATATCCAATATCATGGTCCACCCAATTACGACAAGTCAGGTTTGCCTCAAGCTACTGGGGCACATGGCAGTGTGTACTTACATGGTTCAACACACAAGACTGCGCCTCAGGTCCCTCCAGATGTGGCTTGCATCAGTATATTCCCTAAGCAGACACTACTTGGACTCTGTGCTCACAGTTCCTCCCCTAGTCCTTGCCTCCCTGAAATGGTGGAAAGACCCAAGATTGTTAATGATGAGGGTTCCCTTTGTTACCCCTTAGCTGTCAGTAGCTTTAATCTCAGACGCGTCAGACCTAAGGTGGGGAACCCACCACAACAACTTCTTGCGACCAGAGGCCCTGAGTCCTGAAAAACTCTCCCTGCCCATAAATGTCAGGGAGCTGAAGGTAGGACACTTAGCTTGCCAAGTGTTCCTTCCCCAGATCTTAGATGAGGTGGTGCAAGTCCTGACAGACACTACAGCAACCATGTTCTATATCAGCAAGTAGGGAGAGGCCCGATCTTTGGCCCTATGTCAAGAGGCCATCTGTCTATGGGACTTCTCTGCAAAGCACACCATTCATCTTGAGGCATCACATCTATTGGGACCCCAGAATGTACTGGCGGATCACCTCAGCAAATCCTTTTCCACTCACCATGAGTGGTTTCTTCCCCCGGAAGTCACCAGGTTCATCTTCCAAAGGTGAGGGCCTCCAAAGGTGGACTTGTTTGCTATGAGACAGAAGAGGAAATTCCATCAGTTTTGCTCGCTGCACGGGCACAGCCTGGGCTCCCTCTCCAATGCTTTCCTGGTGCCATGGACAGATATCCTATTCTACGCCTTTCCCCCGATCCTTCTGGTTCACAATGTCCTCCTAAAAGTCAAACAAGACAAGGTGAGAGTTATTCTGATAGCCCCAGCATGGTCTGGCCAACACTGGTTTGGCACGCTCCTCTATCTGTCAATAGCTATTCCACTCTCGCTCCCACTCCATCCAGACCTAATCTCACAAGACCACGGCTGGTTGCTTCACCCGAACTTCACCTCCCTGCACCTAACTGCATGGATGCTGCATTACTGAACCCAGAGGAACAGACTTGCTTGGAACAGGTCCGGCAAGTCTTGCTAGGTAATAGAAAGCCATCCACCAGGGCTACCTGGCCAAGTGAAAACTCTTCTCAACATGGCACCTCAGCAAGCTCCCTCTCCATCTCAATTTTCCCTTCAGTCTGTCTTGACCTACTTGCTCCACTTAAAGCAGCATGGCCTGGCCCTTGCGTCTATCAAGGTACACTTAGCAGCCATCTCTCAACCTTCCACCCACCGGTGAACGGTCAGTGTTCTCCCACAAGATGATGGTATGATTTCTCAAGGGGATGGAGAGGATCTATCCTCAGGTCTGTGAGCCAATCCCCACATGGGACTTAAACCTGATTTTGTGGAGACTCATGGATCCCCCCCCTTCAAGCCGCTAGCATCATACCCCCTGCTATTTCTCTCTTGTAGAGTCACCTTCTTGGTGTTGATCACCTCAGCCAGAAGGGTCTCTGAAATCAAGGCCCTTATATCAGAACTGCCGTACATAGTGTTTTTCAAAGTCAAAGTCCAGCTCTGCCCCCACCCGGCCTTCCTGCCAAAGGTGGTGTCACAATTCCATAACAACCAGGCCATTTTCCTGCCAGTCTTCTTCCCAAAACCTCACAAGAGCTCTGAGGAATGGTGGCTTCACTCACTGGATGTTAGGTGTGCCCTTGCCTTCTATACGAAGAGGACTAAACCCTTCCGGAAATCCACATAACTCTTCGTAGTAACAGTAATAGCGGAAAGGATGAGAGGGCTACCTGTGTCAGCCCAAAGGATCTCATCCTGGATAACCCCCTGTATTCAGGCTTGCTATGAGCAGGCGAATGTCCCACCTTCGGCCATCTTAACTGCTCACTCCACAAGAGCCCAGGCTTCGTCAGGGCAGTGTTCCTTGCACAGGTCCCAATCCAGGACATCTGTAGGGGTGCAACCTGATCATCAGTACATATCTTCACATCTTGCTACACCATCACAACAACAGGCCAGGGATGATGCCAGTTTCGGGAGAGCGGTGTTGCTGCCTGCATGTCCATGAACTCCGAGCCCATCTCTGAATGTACTGCTTGGGGGTCACCTACCATGGAATGGACATGAACAAGCAATCAAAGAAAAAACAGTTACTAACCTTTCTGTAACTGTTGTCCTTTGAGATGTGTTGCTCATGTCCATTCCACAACCTACCCCTCTGTCAGAGTTAACGGTAAGAAGGAACCGAGAGGGTGCATGTCTGGCTGCGCCCCTTTTACTGGTGCATGAGCATGCAGCTCCAGAGGGCACTAGAGCCAGCCTGATGGATACCACTAAGGGAAAAATCTCCAGCAACAGTGCTTGTGGCACGCACGCACCTAACATGGAATTGACATGAGCAACATCTCAAAGAGCAACAGTTATGGAAAAGTTAGTAACCATTTTTTAATCTGCTTTTTAAGGAACAAACATGCCGGCTACTTTTGGACATTTGGCAGGTGGATATGATGGCCAATACTATGGCTATTTGTGGAGTGAAGTTTTTTCCATGGATATTTTTTATAGCTGCTTTAAACAAGAAGGAATAATGAATCCAAAGGTAAGATAGGAACTAGCTTTTTAGTATATACCAGTAGTGAATTTTTTAAATTTCAGAATTAGCTATTGTATAAGCTCCAAAACTAGATTATAATCAGCAAATTAGTAGGTTTTAACATTTTAGGCCTTTCTTATGGTACATATTGTGACAAAGCTCTGTCCTTGCCTCCGTGGGTCCCGCGTTTCCTGGTGGATTTCGCTAGCCTCAGAGGCTCACTGTGACCCTCCACATTAGAGGGTCTCTCTAGAGACAAGGGTCACAGTCTACTGAGCCATTTTCGTCAAAAGCCAGCAAGGGAGGTGAGGAGAAGCTATCCTCCTTTGCACAGTCTCTGTTGTCTCCCAGTCTCAGTGATTAATAAGGGGGCAAAGGTGGAGGGAGCCCGGGCCCACCCTCTACTCTGGGCTCCAGCCCAGGGACCCTAATAGTCTCAGCTATGGGAGCTGACCTTTTAGAAACATGACATGTACAATTCCCTGGGCTACTTCCCCCACAGCAGCCCTCACTTCCTCAAGCTCCACTTCATCCTTAACTCAAGGCCTCCTTCCTTATGCCTGATATGGTGTGTACTACTCAGTCTCTGCAACAGCGCAACTTCCTCCCACAGCTCCTGACATGCACACCCACCTGACTAACTGGGAGGCTTTTAACTAGTTTCAGCCAGCCCCTGATTGGCTTCAGGTGTCCCAATCAACGTAGCATTCTCCCTGCCTTCTGGAAAGTTCTTAATTGGCCCCAGGTGTCTTAATTGACCTGGAGCAGCTGCCATTTCACTTATCCTGGTACCAGGAATTTGTTTAGCCTGGAGCTAATATATCTATCTCTCACTACTTTTCTATAGCCATCTGGCCTTGCCCCATCACAGTATCAAATCCACTGCATCAATGAAAAAGTTTATAAATGCTTTAATTTTATAGTAGAAAATCTGTATTTTAAGGGCATTTGTGTTTTATACAATTCTTGGCTATAAAGTTAAATATTTAAAACTTGTATAAGATATATGGCTCCTGTGATTTGTTAGGAGATGATTTCCACTTTCCCCTTTATTTTACACTGCACAGTATGGGAGAGCACACTGTCTCATGGTAAAAGATTATGCATGGTCTGCTGCTATAAAAGTTGTATGACACTAGTGCCATCTTTCCATTAATAGCAACTCACCTATGTGTTTTGTTATGCAATTACCATTCAGAGAATGGAAATCTAAATCTATTTTGGGCCTCCCCTTTTGCAGCACAGTACAATTTACTACTCTGTCAGATCAGTTGAAGCATTGTGTGATTTGGTTTCTTTGTTTGGTTTTCGCAGGTTTAAAAATACATTCCCTCAAAAGGCTTTGAATCTTAAATTATTGGTTCATTCTAGAGCTGCTGTTTTACTCCTTTGTAGGCCTTGACCTCTTCTTTTCACAGCACAAAGAAAGGATGGCTGTTCTAGTGGTTAAGGTGCTCTCCTAGGACTTGAGAGACCTGTATGTAATTTCCTGTTCTTACACAGACTTCCTCTGTGACCTTGGGCTAAATCCATAGAGGGATTATTCACAAAGTGGACAACTGCCATTTATATGCCTAAATTCAAAATTTAGATTCTCAGAATCCTTGTTCGGCTGCTGCCTAATCCTGCAGGTGCCTAAATTGCCACTGGTAAAGCCCCCTAAGTGCCTACGTTTCTGTCGCTGGGTATACACCCATCTGCTGGGTTAGGCCCAGTTGGTCCTCAAACTAATCATTCCCTGCCTCACTCACCTGTGAGGTCTGATCTGGTAGGTGTACTTCAAGCATGCCTACTGGATTGAGCTTCACAAAAAGTGGAGGTGGTGTGGTGGTGCAAATCTCCCTTGTATAACCTTTAACCTAATAGTTAGAGAATCACCCATGGTGTGGAAGGCCCAAGTTCAAATCCTCCCCCTCTGCTTGATGGGGGCAGGGATTTGAACCCAGGGCTTCCACTTCTCAGGTGAATCCTCTGACCACTGACCTCTGAGGTGGGTCTCGATCTCTCCTGGTGAAGCCCTTCCATTTTTTGCATCTAAATAGTCAGCAGGCCAGAGACAGAGAGTGAGAATGATTCTATAGCCCAGTGGTTAGGTCACAAACATGGCATGTGTGAGATTCAAGTCCCTGTTCCACTGAACTAAAGTTATAAGGGCTTTACCACCCGCCCCCTTTTTTACAAGAAAGGGTCTCAGTGCCTAACTCCAGGAGAGGGTTTGTGGCTGTGAATGCTGAGAGGAGGGAGGCACCTGCCTCTGGCCTGGAGTTAGGTTCCTAACTCCCTTTGAGGAGTGGGGCTTAGGATTCACCCCTCTCCTTGTGGGTACCTTAATTAGCTCCCTGTTCAACATGCTGGCTTTTGTTAATCCCATTTGTAGGCACCTGATTCTCCCCATGCATTGTATAGGGATCCTGGGCACCTAACTCAGTGCTATGTATTCCACTAGACCGTGGGGCACCTAATAGTTAGGTATTGCAATGCTGAATCTAAGTCCCATTTATGGATCTAGCCCCTTAGGTCTTCCCTTTTCTGTTCCGTGTGCTCTCTCTTTGCATAGGCACAATCCATTTTCTAAGTGTCTCTGAAAGATGCCTCAGAGTTTTGACTCTTCAAAATTTTCCCAAATTGCTCTGTGACTTTTGTTTCTCCCAATGCATTAAAGTGTCTTGTATTCTGAGTTTTATTTAGGGGTTTTTTTCTGGACTTTTTTCTCTTTATATGAGAGGCTTAAAAATAATTTGTCTTTTCAATGATCATACCACAACCAAATGGATATTCACTGTGCTTCAGCTACATAGGTGCTTGGTGCCTTTCTTTAGTGTGAGGCCTTCTGGAAACTCTCTTTATGAAGAAGAGGAGAAAAATAGTTATTTCACTGCAGTCTGTGACCTTTTATCTTTGTTCAGCTGCTCATATAACTTTTTAAGAGGGATCTACTATGTGAGAGCTACTTGGGGAAGGCTTTTTTTTCCCTTCCTTAAAGTAACCTCATCTCCAAATCAGATCTGTTTAACCAGTTGTCCTTTCTGGTTGCATTCTTTAGAGGCATAATAGAGTTTCCCTGATGGGACCAAGAACTCTCCGTAAACAAATATCAGATACTCTAGTAAGCTAAAATCTTTTCTTATTTCAAACAAAAACAGCCACCCCCAGGTACCCAATTAGGTTTCTTGCTACAGCAGCAATTTCAAATAAGACCTCAAATAATTTCAATTTCAGAAATTCATGAAGGGAAGGCAGTTACTAGCATATCACAAGACTGGGGTTTTTAGAACCTCAGCTTACCTCTTCCTGTCAGAATGAAACTGAGGTTTCACTTCCTGCATAAGCAGCTATCACATTAACAACTTGAGTGTTAGAAACTGTATTTTTAATGATCACTCATACTCTTCTGAACTCTGTAGCTTTATTATTGTCAGACTCCTCAATCCCTACAGATTTTATTGAGGAATCTCTACTCTCTCAAGAACTGGGAGATGTGATTACCTATATGACATAGTAAAAGATTTGTTCCACTGATACCACAGATTTTTTTTTTTCCAAATTACTCTTTACTCTCCAAAGAACAAAGGCTCGATTCTGTATTAGACTTCCGGAGACTAACTCAAGCAGTAAAATATAAGCAACACTTCAGTATGTTCGCTCTTCAATAAGTTATCCAGACAGTGCACCTTGTAAGTCAAGGTAGCCTCAATACATTTCCTAGAGTTTTTAAAGAGAGATGTTAAAGATTCAGAGGAAAAAATTCCTCCCCTCCTTTCCCTCTATTGGAAGAGAAGGCACAAAACACAGCAGAATTGCTATGGTTCTGCTGCATGGGGGAAAGCCATGCAGGAGCTTCCAGACGTATCTGGATCATATGCCTAAATCCACAATTAAGGGCAGTCATGGCTGCTCTGAGTCAAACCATGAAAGGTTTAGAAATAATTTTTTTCTCCTGCTGCCCCAACCTATCTTGGAATCCCTGTGGAAAGACCATTTACTCAAGCTTTTCTCAGGGAATGGGCTTGAAAGATGGTAAAGAAACAGCAGTATTAACCATAGTAGTCCAACTACTACGGCCAGATTTTTCAATGTGTTAGAGATCATATGGTGGGAAATGAAGCTAAGGGGTGAAACAACAGCATAGAGGTCTGTACAGTTTCCAAAAAGATGATCAAACCTTAGAATTCAACCAATAAACAGGACCTTCACTTAGTCCTTCAGCACAGCTATCAAGAAGTTGTATAGTCTTAACAGACAACCTATTAGTGATGTATTATCTATGACAAACAAGGAAGCACCTTATCCTAATTCTTCTTCAGTCAGGAAGCCAAATAGATCTAGGAACCCTGCATGAAGAGAAACATCTTCCCATTGGCATTCATATCTCAGAGGTCCAAAATGCTATAGGAAGATTCTTTAACTAACTATGAATGGGAACTAGTACTGAAGAGGACTTCAGATGTTGTAACATGCCTCTTGCCTTTCTTGTTCAGGTAGTTCTGATAACTAATTATCGCTTCAGGAGTTACTGGCTAATTCTGTTAAAGGTGTCCACTTAAACAGAAGCAGTGTTGGTGCTTGGCTGTTGTTGCATCCAAACAAATATTCCTCTCACACCTAACACTTCTATGAGATGGCATAATAGGTACTATAATAGAAACAAGGTACCTGAAAACATAAAACCTGTCAGCTCAGTAGTGTGAGATATTTTCATTAAATTACTAATTCCATATGAATAAATGTAAAATAATTTAAATGTTTTTAAAAATAGAAAGAGAAATCCTTAATTACTATTCTAATATCATATTTCAACTGTCTGTTAAAATAACAATACTCTTAACGTTACTTGTGATGTTGTCAGTGTTCTAACAAATCCATGTGCTTTAGGCAACAGACTTTTGTGGAAAAGCCCCTTGAACTTGGATTTCGGCAGGGAATAACTCTTTGTTACCTGACACGTTTAAAATTAATATTAAGGTCTATGTGTTTGTGTTCTGATAATGATTTAGGATAATTCAGCTGCTTATTATCCCCCAATACAGCAGATAGGGATTCCTTCAGTTTGGAGCTGATAGCCAAGGATTTTGAATGGGTGTGTGGACTTTGAGTGTGGACTTAAGGTTCCCTTGGCGTGTCTGGCAGTCTTCTGAGATAACCTATCCACCCCGGATTTTGGCAAAGCACTGTATGCATGGTGTCTCTTGGTGAACATCTTACAGAACATGGGCAAATGAAAGGATTGTGACTACATAAATGCTATAAGAACACATGAGAGAGGTTTTTTCTTTAGGAATTGGTGGAGGCCTCTGCAGACTTGAGCCCACTCTGGCCACATAGCCCTGGTTGTCTCTAGGATACACCCCAGACTTTGGCCCTTAGTATTAAGGGAGAATGAGGAGAGAGGCAGTTCCTACCATGATCAGCAAGCTGTCTTTCCTTTATTTGTTATTGATTTAGAGAATTGCACAAACGTTAAATATTAACATTCTGATTTACTTTTTCTGTCAGGCTGGAATGAAATACAGAAACCTTATCCTGAAACCTGGAGGATCTTTGGATGGGATGGATGTACTCCAAAATTTCTTACAGCGTAAACCAAATCAGAAAGCTTTCCTATCGAGTAAGGGACTGAATACTCAATGAAGCAACAGATCCTTTGCAATGGTACATCAGCAAGCTGGGCAACTTGAAATCTCAGTGTATTTCATGCCTTTCTTAGACAATGTATCACACAAGGGAAAACCAGTCACTTTTAGATTTCTTTTTTTTTTAATATTATTGTATAAATTTGATTCAATCGCACAGGGCTACAAAACTTAACACATTGGACCAACACATTCTAAGATACTGTGTTGAAATTTGTATAGTGATTTTATTTGTGAATTGTTATGAAATGATACAAATTAATCTAGAAAAAATACTGACTTGTATGTCTCTTGAAAGAGACATGGTTGAATTATTCTTTGTGAATTAATTTTAAAATGAGAAAAAATACATTCCCCAAAATTAAATAATTGATTCATTTTTATTCTACAGTTTCTTTTATTGTACTGATAGCTCACTAACATCTGCTGTTTAAATTAAACTCTTTCTATGACTTGGGTTTTTCTTGCTTCCAGGCAGAAGATCCAAGATTGAGAGTTGGGAGAGGTCTTTTGCTCCTGAGAGTGTTATTGGATGAGAGATTTGCATTGATGACACCTTCATCTTTTATTTTTATGTTAAACTATCATCATGTACTGTATAATTTAAGAACTTCTCTCCTAATTTTAGTTGTGTCTCCTGGGAAACAGGTGAAGAAGCTAAGATCCTTGCAGTTCTATCATCTTCTATTTTTTGTTGATATAAAGCTTTATTCGAGGTCACCATCCATCTCCTTTTCATTCTTTCATACCACCACTAGCAGTCACTAGAAAGCAATACTTGTACAATTATAATAATTTCAATTGTTCTGTGACATCTTTCATGCTATGTAGAAAAAAACAATTTATGTCTCCAGTAAATTTTAATAGATGGTTAAAATAAATCCAAGAATGTTATACACGTGCCCTGAATCTTATTAGTAATTCTTTCCAAGGTGGCAACCCGGAGATGTTCCAAGAAAAGTCACATAATTTAATTATTTTACATGTTGATGGAGAGCATGACTGTAAAGCCATGCAGTGGATTGCATTGCAGTTTCCTCCAATAGAAAATAACTACTTATGCAATTACCCAAATAAAACCATAGGCGCAAGGCACTTGTTCTTGGAATATATAGAGACGTCATCCTTAATTTCCAAACTGGGCAGTTCTGAGGCATTACCACACTACCAGGAATCTTCTTGTTAGTAACTTACATTTTCACACATTTGAACATTTCTTTACCAGAACTGGAGAATAATGAAGCAGAAAAATTTATATGAAGTTCCCCATTTGGGATTTAGCTGTTCGTGAATTTTAAAACTTGAGATGAGACATGCTACTGAATCCCAGCAGCTATGGATACGAAGAGACAGACAAATGTACCCCAAAAAGGAAAGTCTTATTACATTTAAGCAACCCATATTGAGATCTGAATACAGAGTTACTAAGGAATTTGAATGGTGGTGTTTAGGAAGCATCGATAACCATAGAAATAGTATTTGTCAAACATAGAGTGTTTGCTTATAACAGATCAAAAGATATTAGTTCCCCCTTGCCACAGAAATAAATCCAAATTATTTCACTTTGTCCAGGAACAAATTCACTATTTTAAAATATTGAGCATACTACAGAGATTCATTGATCAACCAAGATTTGAAAGCTGTGACTACCAACGTATTGGTTTTAATGTGTCCTTTGGGATTTAAGAATAATGCCATCATATATATGCTGATCAGGAGAATATCACAGACTTTTCCACATTAAGGTGTCAGCTTCCACTGATTAGTCTTCAATATGGCAATTATATAGGCCAAACCTAGAAACTACCTGGCCTCATTACAGTCAGTAACTAATCTGTCAGACTTGAATCAAACCTTTTGCTTCACCATAAATACTAATATGAACGTTCACAGCCAGTTATATTTATGCCCCAGTTCTGTAACTATATGCACCATCACAGGCCCATACGTGTGCATGCAGTTCCATATGTGAGAAACAGCTGTATAGTAATTGAGGCATCCTGAGGATATTAATCCTTCACTGGAAATTAAGGCAAGGCTGTTTTGTAAACCTTGAATTTTGTCTGGATTAAGGTCTGTTAAATTCTAACTGGGTTTGGAATGAAATACTTTGCTTTTCTTCTTTTTAAACAATTATTTCTATTAAGGTGGCAGTTATCGCTAAAATATTTTTAAAATATGCACTGTAGAATTTTAAAATTCTTATGAATAGAAGATACAAAAAATAGCAGCTGAGCAATGATGCTTTTGTAAAATGAATACACAAGTCTCTGAACAATGGAAGATTTAGCAAGAGACAAAATGCAGTGTTCCTTTTCAATCTGCTAGAGAGATTACCACATGAGAGAGACCACTCTCTGCATAAAATAGAGGTTTCAGCGTAAAGAGGTTTGTGAATGCAATGCTTCTAAACAAAAGTATGCTTATGATTATATAGTTGGAGAGATTTAATCTAACTGTTAAATAGTGAAACAATCTGTTAACACAATGTGCTATTGATGTAAATAGTTTAACAGGCTTGCAGGCTTTTCTACTATTCCCAAAAGTCTCCATCATATACAGTTAAGAACATAAGACTGGACATACTGGGTCAGACCAATGGTCCATATAGACCGGTATCCTCTCTTCCGACAATGGCCAATGCCAGTTGCTTCAGAGGGAATGAACAGAACAGGCAATCATTGAGTGATCCTTCCCCTGTTCTCCACTCCCAGCTTTTGTCAAACAGAGGGTAGGGACACGCAGAGCATGGTGTTGCATCCCTGTTCATCCTGGCTAATAGCCATTTGATGGACCTATCCTCCATGAACTTATCTAGTTCTTTTTTGAACCCTGTTACAATTTTGGCCTTCACAACATCCCCTGGCAAAGAGTTCCACAGGTTGTCTGAGCGTTCTGTGATTAAGTACTTCCTTTTGTTTGTTTTAAACCTGCTGCCTATTAATTTCATTGGGTGACCCCTAGTTCTTGCGTTATGTGAAGGAATAAATAACACTTCCTTATTTATTTTCTCCACACCAATCAACATTTTATAGACCTCTGTCATATGCCCTCTTAAGTTGTCTCTTTTCCAAGCTGAAAAGTCCCAGTCTTTTTCATCTCTCCTCAGATAGAAGCTGTTCCATACCCCTAATGATTTTTGTTGCCCTTCTCTGTACCTTTTTCAATTCCAATATATCTTTTTTGAGAGAGAGCGACCAGATCTGCATGCAGTATTCAAGATGTGGTTGTACCATGGATTTATATGGAGGCATTATATTTTCTGTTTTATTTTCTATCCCTTTCCTAATGTTTCCTAACATTCTGTTAGCTTTTTTGACTACCATTGCACATTGAGCGGATATTGTCAGAGAACTATCCACAATGACACCAAGATCTCTTTCTTGAGTGGTAACAGCTAAGTTACAGTTATCGTTTCATATGTATCGTTGGGAATATGTTTTCCAACACGCATTACTTTGCATTTATCAACATTGAATTTCATCTGCCATTTTGTTGCCCGGTCACGCAGTTTTGTGAGGTCCCTTTGTAACTCTTCACAGTTTGCTTTCGATTTAACTATCTTGAGTTCTTTTATATCATCTGCAAATTTTGCCACCTCACTGTTTACTTCTTTTCCCAGATCATTTATGAATATGTTGAACAGCACTAGTCCCAATACAGATCCTTGGGGGACACCACTATTTAACTCTCTCCATTCTGAAAACTGACCATTTATTCCTACCCTTTGTTTCCTATCTTTTAACCAGCTACTGATCCATGAGAGGACCTTCTCTGTTATCCCATGATTGCTTACTTTGCTTAAGAGCCTTTGGTGAGGGATCTTGTCAAAGGCTTTCTGAAAGTCAAGTACACCATATCCACAGGATCCCTCTTGTCAAAATGTTTGTTGACCCCCTCAAAGAAATCTAATAGGTTGGTGAGGAATGATTTCCCTTTACAAAAGTCATGTTGACTCTTCCCTCAACAAATAGTGTTCATCTATGTGTTTGATAATTCTGCTCATTACTATAGTTTCAACCAGTTTGCCCAGTACTGAAGTTAGGTTTACCAGTCTGTAATTGCTGGGATTGCGTCTGGAGCCTTTTTTAAGTGATGTCACATTAGCTATCCTCCAGTCATCTGGTACAGAAGCTGATTTAAGTGGTAAGTTACATACCACAGTTAGTAGTTTTTTTGTTTTATGTCTGAGTTGCTTCAGAACCCTTTGGTGAATACCATCTTGTCCTGGTGACTTATTATATCAGTTTGTTCCAAAACTTCCTCTAATTACATCTCTCTCTGGGGTAGTTCCTTAGATGTGTCAACTAAAAAGAATGGCTCAGGTGTGGGAATCTCCCTCACATCGTCTGCAGTGAAGATGGATTTAAAGAATTAATTTAGTTTCTCTGCAATGGCCTTCTTTTCCTTGAGTGCTCCTTTAGCACCTAGATTGTCAGGTGGCCCCGCTGATTCTTTAGCAGGCTTCCTGCTTCTGATGTACTTAAAAAAATTTTCTGTTACTTCTTAATATACAAACTTGCATGTCGAGTTAGGCACCTGATAAAAGTGGTCTGATTTTAGAGGTGTTAAGAACTTGCAAATCACACTGACCCCATTTCAGAACATCTGAAAATCAGGACACTTGCTTAGGTACCAACTCTAAACACCCATGTTTTAAAATGTTGGCCGCCATCGAAGCCTAAGCCTATAATACACAGCTACCTGCTGAATTTGTACTTCCTCAACAAAGTGGTATCAATACCTCTTTATGAAATTTCTTTGATATCATTCTCACCGAGTGCTCATTTCTGGCATGTGCCAAAAAGACACAGGTTTTAGCTGCCTCAGAGAGTTTGTTTGGCTTCACAACCCAGGGTTCTAAAGTGAGAGTCAAACAATAAAATGGTGAAAATATTGCTGCCTTTTCTGCCATAATCTGACAATTATTTTAAGGACTGGTGCTTCCACTGAGTATGGTGCTGCCAGAAAAAACACTGGTGTCCTGCTATCTTGCTGCAAATGGCTGGTTTTCCAATAGGAAATTATATGGCTGCTAGTTCCTTTTAGACAAGTAAAAGAAAGATCTGTTTGTCTACTACAATACGTCTCCTGCCCTTCTTATCTCTTGTCTCTACCATCAGGGTTGCATGCTGTTCCTTCCTGTAAACCATTTAGCCTTCATTTCCTATCCCAATACTTTTTCCATGTTCTCAGGATACTCTTAAAAGATTACTCCAAAACTGATGACCCTGCATCATATTCTTCTGTAACAGTCTATACCCCCTTAATACTATCTAACATCAGTGCCTGATAATGCTTCACTGTAGCAATTGTAGGACCATATCACATTTTTCTGAGGTGTGCTCACACCTCATAGGAGAACATGCAGGATAAAAGGGGTAAGGGATCCCAGAATAGGAAGAACCTGTAAGTGATCTGTGGGCCAACAAGACGTTAAATGGAGGGACACTGTTAGATCACTGATGCAAACTGGACCTTCTGCCTCTTCATAGGAAGGAACTACAGTAACTGTCTCAAGAAAGGAATTTCTGACATTGTAACTGAAGATTTCAAAACGTCCAT